TTGAAGCTACCAACATGATTTTGACCCAGCTACGGAAGACAGGAGGGCCTGGCGTGCTCTGGTCCATGGGGTCATGAAGAGTCGGACACGACTAAACGACTAAACAACAAGTCAACAAACTATCCCACAACTCTCCCCCCATACCCTCTAGCACCAATGAGTGTCCAAAATGTGAGCTCTTTCACTTGTGGAAGAAGAAAGTACACTACTAACCAAGTGGAGGAATCGCAGTAGCAAGGGCAAAGAGATCACGAATAAACAAGGAGAGATATATACCCTTCATAATCTTTATGATGAGTAGCTATAGAATTTATAATGCTGTGGGAGGGGAGACTAGCAATTTAGGAGAGACAGGAACTCAGTACAGGGAGATAAAACCACAGTGGGCATGAGAAGCAGAAGTGGATGGATGAGGATGGGCTTGTGCTAGAGGGAGTTTCGCCACAGATTACATCAGAAAACAACAAACTAAGTTAAAAAAATTGCAAAACACCACCCATCACTGAAACTGAGCAATATATGAGGAAACCTAAGCTGAATATCTGCTGTACTTCTAATTGCCGCTTTTATATTAATATGAAAACTCATAACTTTTTCTTGGATCATGCCATGGAATATCTGCTGAGAAGGGTATGTTATTTAGTTTTCTGAACCCCATGTAATTTTCTTGCTCCTGAATGACACGTTGGCTTAGACCGTGACACAGTCCTATCTGGATTCCCAATATTCTGGATGTTGTTACTGTACTTAGGAAGTACCTGAAATAGTGGTGGGAAATCTGCTTTAAACTGGGCTTTCTTCCTTGAAAGTGTTGAATTCTGTACCATACATGTAGATCATTTCCCCTATTAAAGAAAGCCTTAGAGATTGAAGGTTTTTAAGCCTGTGAGATGACTATAAAACTTTCACACGTAAAGACACAGGTATAAATGGTTATGCAGTGTAATGTTTAGTTTCATAATAAGGAGGTAAGCCTGGTACTTTGAACATACATGCCTTTGCATTTCTTTTTTCTTCTCTCTTTTTCTCTCTTGATTAGGTCATCATGTAATGAACCTTTTATTATGGCCAATGACACTCTGGAAGGTTTTCATGAAGTGAATCTAGCTTCGCCTACTACCCCAGATCTTCTCGGAGTGCATGAATCTAGCACTACTGAACAAACTACCTCACCAACTGTCATCTACCGGCTTCACCCCTCAGCTTTGTGCACCACACCAATTCAGCCAACAGCCCTAGATGTGTCTGATCTTCCTACACAGCCAGTCTATTCATCCATCAGGCATCTAAACTGTGCAGAAGCATCAGGTATCAGGTTGGTTGTACGAAAGCTCAGTTTTATTTAAAAAGCTTGCTAATTCACTGCTTCATATTGTTTCCATTTTTGAAAACTCATAAGTACTAGTCCATAATCGTTGGAGATTCATTGCTAAGTGTATATATGCCCTTCTCTTTCAGCATCAAGCTTCATATTGTTTCCATTTTTGAAAACTCGTAAGTACTAGTCCATAATTGTTGGAGATTCATTGCTAAGTGTATATATATACCCTTTTCTTTCAGCATCAGTGTTACAGAAACTGTACCTTGTTCTACCTCAGGACCCCAGTGTGGGTCATCAAAACATGATAATTCCAGAAAGGAAAGCAGCAATGCAGAAAGAGAATTTCTGCAAGGGGCAGGAGTCACAGATTTCTCTGACGGAAGTGATGATATTTTGGGAATAAGCACAGATAGCCTGTCTCGCCTGCGGAGTCCGTCTGTATTGGAAGTACGAGAGAAGGGCTATGAAAGATTGAAGGAGGAACTTGCTAAAGCACAGAGGGTAAGAGTTGGCAGTCTTGTTTTATGTTTCATCTTCATGTTGGCTGCCCTCTAGTGCTATGCATTTGTTATGCCGGCGTCTGATCCTGTAGCACCGGTTAGTGAATTTCTGTCTCTTTGCTTTTAATTTCTTTCAGCTAACCAACGTCTGACTTTTGATTTATAGATTCTTCCAGATGGGGCTGTGAATATTGTAGCTGTGAGGTAATAGCTGTAGCTTGCCAAGCTGCAGTTCAGTCGGTGCCTTATGTTTAGTCAGTGGTACCAATTCAAATGCGAGTATTTATAGTAATGCTGAATGTGACAACACGTATAGCACCGATTGGTAGATTCAGTATTTATAGTAATGCTGAATGTGACAACCCGTATAGCACCGATTGGTAGGTGAATGAGGCAGGCAGATTTATAAACATACAAATGGCTGCTGTGTTGCACGTACCTAGCGTGGCCCCTGTTCTGCTAGGTTTAAAATGTTGTAAATTCTGAATGTCAAAATAAATACTGTGTTTTTCATAGGAACTGAAACTCAAGGATGAGGAATGTGAGAGACTTTCTAAAGTGCGAGACCAACTTGGACAGGAATTGGAAGAACTCACTGCTAGTCTGTTTGAGGTTTGTTTGAAGGCTTTGCTATCATATACTTCTGGTATGGGATGAAGTACCTATGGTGCTCATCTGTGTGGTGTGTGCCACCACCAAAACTACAACCACCCACAAATACCCCTGCACTAATTTTGGGGGTTGCTGTTTAACTTGTGAATGGGGACTCAGTGTCCTGGATTGTCCCTACCAGCCAATCAAGTGAACAGACAGTGCTCCCTTTTCCCTGCTGTTTAATACTGCAGTAGCTAAAAGTTAACTTTATATTGCTTCTTTTAAAGAATAAGCATGCTTCATGTGGAACTCACAGACTTTTGTTACTCTGGAGACACTACATAAACCATGTGTCCCAGCACTGGCCAGCTATGTGTGTGGCTATAATGTGTTGTGACTTCTGTCTTCAAAAATAAGCAATAGGGTTTGTGAATCAAAAAAATACGTTTTATTTATGTAGAATCATCACAGAATATAAAGTTTTTTGTTTTTTTCCAAATGGGGCTTAGGAAAGCTGTTTATTCATGCACATGCTATCTATTAAAAATGAAGTACCTTCCTACATCAGTCACGATGATGTCACCCAGATCAGGCTGTGTGTATGCAGATACATGTTTGTGTACACAAACACTGTAAAGATAGTTAAGAACCTGTAGTTGGAATGGTTGAAACCATGTTGCAAGCAGCTACAGTTTCCCTTGCGTTACAACACACCTCTCTAAATGGCAACTAAGCTGCACAGTGACTTTCTAGACTGGGCCTTGGACTCATGTATGGCAGCTCCAATGCTGTGCTTATCAAATGGAATGGGCAACTTTCTCCATATGGTGTTGGACTGCAATTCTCAGCATAGCTAATGATGAGGATACTGGAAACTATAGTCCAGGACCATCTCATGTAGAGAGATCTTTTTCATAGGCTTCTATTTTCGGGTAGCAGGGCCAACTTGGGTTGAAGCATTTACTCATTTACATAGCATTTCTCTTTACAGGAAGCACACAAAATGGTGAGAGAAGCTAACATAAAACAAGCCACAGCTGAAAAACAACTGAAAGAAGCACAAGGAAAAGTGAGTTTCAGCTGTTTGTTTATATTATGGCTGGGAGCAAAAAGGTTTCATGTATGATTTGTGTGCATGAATTGCTGTTTTCCTTAGAGTCTTTTTGAGTTTTCTAGATGTTTTTTAAACACAAGAAAAAAAAACAACAAAACAGTTCAGCTGGAACACACCTTGTCAGGTTAAATACTAGAATAATCACATAACTTTCCAAAGGATTGGTGCGTGTCATCAGTTTGTCCTCTCAGTTTCTAGTCACTTAATAATGTGAATCACAGAGACCAAGAAGAAGGAGGACACATTATTTACTTGTAACTGTAGTTCTTTGAATGGCCATCTGCGAATTTACACAACCAACCCCCTCAACCTCTCCTCTCAATGCCACGTGTACTTTATTCAGTGGTAGAATGGGAACTTGGAATTAATCGTTAGGTGGAGGAACATGCGCTGGGGGTTAGGGTGGGGCTAACAGCTTTCTAGGCCTAGAGTGGTCGAGAATAAATAAATAAAAATATTCCAAGGATTGTCTGTGCAGGTGCAGAACAACCCGTTAGTGTGAATTCACAGATGACCACTCTAAAAAATACAGTTATAGGTAAGTAATCTGTCCATATACGCCCTGTCTCTCCCTATGAAAGGTGAAACTTGTCCTTGGTTTTGTTCTTACCTGCTCTTTTTGGGGGTGGGGGCAATATGCCACAAAATGCCTTCCTGTAATTAAGCAATAGTTGCAAAAGGAACTACTTCACTTCCTGCAAGTTCTGTGCAGACTGCAAACGTGGTCTCTTTCTCTCCTATTTCTTTTGTACATAAATGTAGATCGATGTTCTTCAAGCTGAAGTAGCAGCTCTGAAAACATTGGTGTTGTCCACTTCACCGACCTCACCAACACAAGAGCTTCAGCCTGGTGGAAAAACACCTTTCAAAAAAGGTCATACGAGAAACAAAAGTACAAGTAGTGCAATGGGTGTCAACAACCAGGATCTAGCTGTCATGCAGCCCATTGTGAAAGACTGCAAAGAGGTATTTGAAGGGTGGGATAATAATTCTAATCATTATTGGTAAATATTAATACCACAAAGAGCATGTATGACATTCCTACTCCGAAGTAAAGTGATAATATAGAGGATATTTGCGCATTTTTGTCCTCCAGATAATAATTTCATTAATTTTTTCAGAGTTGTACAGCTCAAGAAATAGACAAACTAGTATTTCAGATTATATAAACCTCTGTCTAAAAGTGTCTAATCTCTCTCTGTCTCTGCTTTGGTTGTAAAAACACTACTTGCCTCTGAGTGTCGGCAATAGAGAGAGAAAGATGATTAGAAAAAAATTAAGGAAGGTGAGGTATTTGAGATGTATTCATAATATAAAGCTGTTTTAGTGACTTTTTCCCTCTCCTTTCTCTCTTATGAGAGATTTGTGAACTGAAACATTTAATGCATTCTGCCTTTGTTAGTTCTGAAAAAAACAAATAAATGGTGGTGTGAGTTCTACATTGTTTACCTCTCCATGTTTAAATGACTGCATGAACAGTCATTAACATTTTAAAGGCTTGCACATTTTTTTGTTTCTTAGTTCCACAGGTTATGTAACGATTAAGCAGAGAAAAAGCTGAAGCTTGGAAATAATTAACATGCTAGCTTGTGATTATACAGTAGAAATATGTGGCCTCTGCAAGCTGTAGTCTTTGAGCTCTCCTGTTAGGGCACAATATTGCAGAGTTAAGTGAAGGGATTAAGCTGGACTGAGGGATTTGCACTCTCAGTGGGGATTTACACTCCCATGGGCAGTTTTGTCCACTACACTTTGTTCAAAATGCAAATAATGGCATACAAAAAGTCTGGGAGTGTCTCTTGTAATATAATATTGATGGTAGCCTCAACCTTTGGACACTCTTCTCTGTGCCTCTTTTTATTTGTAATGTTAGGCTGACATCGCCCTGTATAACGAATTCAGATCCTGGAAAGATGATCCCACCATGGACAGGTCATGCCCTTTCCTGGAAAAAATCTATCAGGAGGATATCTTCCCATGTCTAACCTTCTCCAAAAGTGAGGTAACACTTCTAACTGGTATACTGTTATTTAGACTGATGATTTGCATGAAGAAGGTCTTACAAAAACAGTTTTCCTTGGCTACCTCATAACGAGGTTCAGGTTCCAAAAAATCCCCCGTGTTGGCGGAGAAGGGTTTCTATCCATGTTGAGGGGACGTCCCGCAAGGTAAACAGCTCTAGGTGGTCCTCCATCCATCAGGAGGAGTGTTTTGAAAAGGATGAAAAGGAGCTACAGTTTGTGGTAGCAGGCACTACAAACACTGCTCTGCCTTCTTAGGTTTCCTCGTTTCTGGTTCATTAGATCTTGGTCCACATGTTTGTTTAATTAAGTTAATATATTAAATAAAATGTAATAAAATGACCTTAGGCTGTGTGTACAGGTTCAGGATGGGTGCTGGTCACAGAAGCAATGCTTCATGTTGCCTTTTTTGAACTACAGACCCTGTAATAAGCTGGTCATCTGATGGATGTAGTGATGATGGGGTCTGCCGTGTTACCACAGGAAGTTTGTATAGGGGTCTTGCCAACAGTTCTTGATATACACCACTTCTGGCAAGACCCTTACTTCGTGCCACATGTAGTGAATACATAGTTTCATCCTTCTTTATTGTAAAAAGAGTGTACTGTAGCTTCTAAGTGATTTGTTATTGACAACTGAACTTATACCTTTAGTCTAACTTCCCTCTCGCACATTCCCACTCAATACCTTTTTGTCTGCCTCCCTGTTTATCTGTCTACTTTCAGCTCTCCTTTCCTTTTAATCATTTCTTTGATATGATAACCTACCTTTCCCACCATCTTTATCCTCACATTAAGTATGGTTGTTTGTTGGACTACCAGATTGCTCCTATTGCTGTGTTCATATAGTGACCTCTCCTTGACATGCACACAAATCCAGGCTACCATTTGAGGTCTTTTTCTATTAATGCGTATTCTTCCATTGAAAAGGTGTGATTTGTTCACTATTTTTCTAACTGCTCAATTTTTTTTTTACCATACATCTTAAGACCATGCTATAAAAGTACAGTAGATTGTTGTCATTAATGTGAGGACAAAGATATAGGCTGGAATGGAGAGACAGTAACTTGGTTTGCCTGGGGCTTTCTAAGTTGTGGCTAAATCTGAATTTGAACAAGGATTTTCCAGTCTGATTTCTTATTAGTCATTGCATTGGACTGATTATATTATCCCAAATAATGTGCAGTGCTTTCATTTTTGCTGCCAAGCAATAGGAAGTGGTGTTTCTTGGTGTAGCTGGTGGCAAGTTTAAGGAATTTTAAAATAGGATCAGCTCTAAAGCTGCTTTAATCATGTTACTCATCTATTTTCAGCTGGCATCTGCTGTCTTGGAGGCTGTGGAAAACAATACCTTAAGCATCGAACCAGTTGGCTTGCAGCCTGTTCGTTTTGTGAAAGCTTCTGCAGTTGAATGCGGAGGACCAAAGTATGTTCACCCTGAAGAGATGTAGAACTATATTCCAATTTACATCCTGACTCTACAAGAAATGGCTGGCTACTCCAGGCCAGAAGCAGCATAGGTGCAGCTCAAGAGGGCCAGTGTGAAACCTTGTTTCTTTCCCTGCATGACCCCAAAGGCTGGGGACTGAGGGAAGGAATTACAGCGATTTGGTAGTCCAAATGGCAGCTCCTGTGCCAGCTCTGGTATATTGGGTGATGGTGAAGAAAATAGTGATAACTAGAGATGGGGGTAGTCGTATACCCTCGCACAGGTGGACATGACGATCATTCATTTACCCGTCCACTGCTGCCGCTGGATCTCTACTCCCAGTCGCTCCGGAGCTCGCGGTCGGCTAGCCACTGGTCAGCCTGGCAGGGAAACTGGTCCTCCCTCCTCCTGTCAGGAGTGGCTAGTTGACCATGAGCTCTGGAGCGATTGGAAGGGAGCGTGGAGCCAGCTGCAGCAGCGGACGGGTGAGTGGATGGTCGTTATGTCCACCTGTGCAGGGGTATTCATATACAAATACCCCCATCTCTAGTGATAACTCATTCTTGAATTTTTAAATATACTGACTGGAATATTTTTGTCTCATAGATATGCAAGTGTTGTCCATCTGGTTCCTGCACATTTATGAACTTTAGTACAAATCTAAAATAATGGGGGGTGGAGTTAAAAAAGGGAATGTAGCTGAGTGATAGAGGGCATCCTTTGCATGCAAGAGGTGCCAGGTTCAGTCTTGAATATATTCAGGTTAGGGCCAGAAAAGACATCTGTCCAAGCTGGTGACCATTTCCTCCTGACTTAGAATTGTGCCTTGTAAGTAATGGTTTAATTGTAATTAACTATATCAGACCTCTGTTTTCATGAAGATGAAACTCTGAAATTTTCCATTTTGTTAATACAGGAAATGTGCACTCAGTGGACAAAGTAAAGCATGCAAACATAGGATTAAATTAGGGGACTCCAGCAACTATTACTATATTTCTCCCTTCTGTAGATATAGGGTAAGTATTGGACTTCCTTTTGCTGCTTCTGCTCCTGGTTCATGCAATTGTGTTAATGCATGGAATTAGGCATGTTGAATTATAGCTCCTGTGTCCCCCCCCCTTTTTCTGTGCAGATCACATCTGTATGTAACTTTTTCACATACATTCGGTATATTCAGCAGGGGCTTGTGAAGCAGCAAGATGGTAAGTGAAGATCTGTGTCTAGCATAGATAAGTATTGTGCTGGTCTGTAAGTATGAGAAAGATCTGTGCCAATACATTACACGTTCCTGGCTTCACAAATAGCTGCCTGGTTATTGATAACAATTTTCAGAGCATTTGTGTAAACTAAACATTTAGGGCGATTATAATATTCTGCAATGTGGATGGGAACCCTGTGGTTCTCCAGATGATGAACTTCTATAATCTTTGATCATTGCACCATGCTGGTGGACATCGGTGTCTGTCATCAGCATCTAAAGAGCAAGTTGTTCTGCAGTCTCCATAGCTATAACTTTAATTATCTGTTTTTCCCTTAGTGACTTGGAAAAGCAGCAGAGTTAACAAGAAGAATTAATTTAAATAACTAGGTCAACCATCTATTTCCATACAAGGCTCTTACTGTTGATTGATTTATTTATATATATATATGATCCTGAGTAACATAATGGTTGAAATCTTGCTTAGCATAGTGAGTTGCAACTAGAGCAAGTCCATTGAATCAGTGGCATTTTAATAGAAGCTGATTCACCAAATCCCCACTAATTCTGATGGCAATTTACTGTAGTAAGCAGCAGGATTCCAGCCATTGTGACTTAATTTTCAGTTACCAAACTATCCACAGTTGCCACATAAATGCATCTAATTTCTTTTGTACTAAACCGTACCTGACTGTGTGAACACATTTATATTGCAGAAAGGGGTTAGACTACATGACTGCGTCATCTCTAATTTAAAATGTTTGTACTTTATCTGCAAATGTAAAAAAAAAAATCTGGAAGGAGGCATAGAACTGTACTGTATTGTATTCTGACGCAAATATTACAAGGTGGTAGCATTCTATCCTACACACAGCTGGTGTTTTCAGCCTGTGGTAGCTAAATATCAGTGTTATTGATTGATGTCTGGTTACTTTCAATTAGTCCTGAACCCCTGATTATTAGACATTTTGTTTTGAGTTGGGTAAAAAAACTTAGTGGGCAGTATTTCTTAGGTCTGCTAAGAGGATAGTATGTCTGTGTCTGATTTTTGGGTCACCAAAGTTCTGTGTTTGACTTTTTAAAAACTAAAATGTGCTATGCTTAAATAGTAACAGGGGAGAATAAATCATTTCTCAGTAATGTTCCAGTAGCCAGAAAAATCATTTTGTAAGCAATCTGGGTTTTAAAAAGATTACTTAAAGTGCTTCATTGTAGAGACTAAGAAATTATCATTATTACAAGTATTGACTGTCTAGTTTAGTTGAGCTAAGTTAAATGTACCCGTTAGGTTCCATAGGTCTTCAAATAATGAATTAGCAGGGAGAACAAGTCCTAGAATCCCATTATAGGCTCTATCCCAATCTCTCCCATTCACACAGTATTCTCATGGTTAAAGGAAGAATAAGGCACCAATAACTTAATTTTCCTAACACTAAGAGCACTAGCCTTCAACTTTTTGATAACTTGCTGCCAATGGCTGAATTATTTTTTAAACTATAGTGCTTTGAATCTCTGAAAAGTTAGGGGTTCAGAAATGCACAGAGTTCTGTTTTTCCTGCTTGTGTTACAAATGGCTAGTGATGCTTCTGAGATATATTATTTTTGCATGCATTTGGAAATTATTCATTTTGGATACTGTGAAAGAGATGCCTTACATACATATACAAGACAGAGGCTTTCAATTGAATCTTTATTTCATTACTGTCTGCCTTTCTTTTGTGCAGTGGATCAGATGTTTTGGGAGGTAATGCAGCTAAGGAAAGAGATGTCACTGGCAAAACTTGGATATTTCAAGGAAGAACTGTAACTGCTACACTTCTGGTGCTTGCATGAACTACCATAAATGTACATATCTTCCAGATTGGTACTGAATCCTTGTCAATTGATATTTATTTTGAAAAATGGGTCCAAGGCTTTTTCTTCTGTGCAAATTGCACTACGTACTCTTCTGATTTAAACAAAATGGTCTTAGGATGCAGAGGAATGAAATGCTGTTCATTGTGAATAGAAGGCAAGAAAGATTTTCAGGTGTACTAGCGATTGTAATTTATGATTGAAAAATGCAGGTTAAGTGCTTTTCAGGATTCATGCTTGTGTTCTGGAGAGTTTTTAATGTAGAATTTCAATAAAAGTTAACTGAAAGTAGTCCATGATATTAGTCTTTTTTTTTTTAAAAAAAGCATCTGCATTCTTCTCACTATTAAAGAAAGTTAATGTACAAATATTGTTATAGATGTCCTCACATCAGGCACTGAAATTAAATATATGGGCCAAAAGACAAACTCTGTGTTTTTAAAATGTTTTTGCTGTTTAACTTACTGAGGGTTGGGAGCGGGAAGGTGACTTTTCTTAATTACTGCCAGTGCAGAATCCTTAATCCTTTGCGTCCCATCAAGACCTTATCAAACTAACTGAGGCTGAAAATGAGCAAGAGGCAAGATAGGGAAGAGTTTTTCATTTAAACTTACCATTTCTGTTCTAAGATAGGCTCACATCTTGCATTTTAAAAATATTGCAGCATTTTCTTCATCATGTTTTTCATCTATGAACTAGGAGAGGGTAGTGCGTTATGTACAGATTTGTTTTTTTTCCCCATCAATGAAATATTTGTGTCCATCTCACAGAGTGAACAGTTGGTGATATTATAATCTCTGGCAAACATTCAGTGCTTTAAAGAAAAAATAGTTTTCTGGTGAATCTGGAAAGATAGTTTTTATATCATAGTATGTTGGGCATAGTTACAGATTACTTGGCTACTGGCCACTTGCTGCTCTTCATTTGGTGTGAACTAATCATGGAAATCAGCCAATTTTATTTATTTTTATTTATTTATTTATTCCATTTATATCCTGCGTATCTGGTAATGTGACCACTCTTTTGCACATCTATGCTGTCTTTATGGGGGTTGTGCAATAGGTGGCTCTCCAGAAGTCATTGGACTACAATCCCTATTAATTCTAGCCTAACCCTATGGTGAGGCATGGTGGAGTAGAAGCCAAAATGGGGAGGGCTGCATGCGTGCACACACAATTTGTTTTGAGGGTGGCATATGAATCTCCTAGTTTGCACTCAGGAGGGGTAAATCAGGTATCTGGCGTCTGATCTGTATGATTTAGAGTTAGCTGTAAAGCAGTAGTACTTGTTGGGATACAGAACAGTAGAATCCCATCTGCTATTGAAAACAAATAGCATAATAATAAACAACTTCAGTTTATCCCTTCAACTGATCAAGGTGTTGCTGTTAAACATTAATCCTAGAAAAAGATAGAGGTTTATTTTAATGGAAGGGATTGAACAACTAGCTGATATAATAAATTGTATGGTATAAATAATTTATGTGTATGTTTATATCTCACCTTCCTTGCAAGGTGATTAACAAAATACAGTTAAAATATGGTAAATTGCAGGATCAAAAAACAAGCAAACATATAACATATTAAAAGAAAAACTGAATCAAACATTTAAAACAGTTTAAATATACATTTGAAAAGGTAAAAAAAATGACAACATCTAGTTAAAACTCCTTCCTTCCTTGACAGCCAGTTATTTGCCAAAAGCCTGTCTGAAGATTAAGATCTCTTTTTTTTTGCTGGTGGGAGGACACCAGTGAGAAATCCTGCCTGGCCTCTTGTGGAAGAAAGTTTCATAGCCCAAGACCAGCCACAGAAGAGGTTGTTTCTCATGTCCTCACCAGGTGTGGCTGTGGGTCTAGGATGAGCAAGAGAGCCCTTTCCCTCATGTCTTAAACCTTGGGAGGCTCATATAGGAGTGATAATGGTTCTTCAGATACTATGAATTTAAGTCGTTTAGGCGTTTATAATTGTGATGGAAAAAACCAGTAGCCAGTAAAGTTGTCACAAGGAATTTTGGTGGTTCTTGTAACCAGCTGTGGTCAGTAGTCTCTGGACATAGCATCTCAGACCTGCTGTGAGGCTTCTGGATGCTTTCAGTGGGTAGCCCATGTAGAGCATATTGCATTAGTTCAAAGGGGAGGATGTGTCACTGTCACCATGTAAAACATCTCAAGCAATAGGTGCAACTGGTACATTAGTTTTTAACTGAAAATGAACTGGTCACGACCAGGACTTGGGAACTAAGGCTCAGAGATGAATCCTGGAGTACATCCAAGCTGCAAATCCTTTTCCAGTGGGAATGTAGCTCCATCTGTCACCTTCCTGCTGTGTCTTTTGACTGACCAGGAGAACTCTCTCTGGTCTGGACCGAGCTTCAGTTTGTTCACTTTTGTCCAGTCCATTATCAATACTAGACACTGGTCTAGGAAAAAAGTTACTTTGGATGGAAAGAAGAAAATAGTGTTGTTGGGTCCATCCACATACTGGTGGCACTGAAGCCCAAAATTCTTGAGAATGTCTTCCAGCCATTTAATATGAATGTTCAATAATGAGAGGGTAAAATAGAAGCCTTAGGGACTCACCAGGCTATGGAACAAGAGCTTGAACATCACCTTCTGAACGTGCCCTCCAGAAATGACCAGAGCCTCCAACAGTGCCTTCAAAGAGATGGCCAAGAAGGATTCTGTGGTATTGAAAGCAGCTAAAAGTTTCAGCAGTACCGACACACTGCTCCCTGTTCAGCTCCTAGCATACTAAGGTGACCAACCCAGATCTTCAACCAAGTTAAAGTGGAGCTAGAGAATCCGTCTCGTCCAGGAATCATGTTTCAGTACTTTGCCTAAGAATGAAATATAGGAGATCAATTGGTATTTATCCAATAGGGTGGATGTATTCACCCCAAAGTCTACATGCGTGAACTGTGATTGTAATTTAAATGTAATTGCACCAAGGCGGCTTTGCCTTGGGACACAGGGTTGAGGGATGTAAAATGTCACAACTGTTGTCTATAAAACAAAGACAGGCAGTTAAAAAGTTTGCTCTGTTTTCCATTTGGAAGTCACAATGCAGCACGGTGCTTTCTGACTGTATCCTTTACTGCTTGAAGCACGTGTAATGTAGCAGCTCCTTTCCTCTTTTCCTTAAAAATGTTGATGCTGTGAGCAAGAGATGCAACCGTCCTCCCCAAAATCTCTCATTGCCCCCCATTTGCTATTTCTTTCCAGTTTGTCTTTCACTATACAAGTTGGTATTCTATGCTAGTCACGTGTGGGGATTTAACCAGGTAAGTTACGAAGTAGTTACTGCTGCTGCTGCTGCTACTCCTCCCCAGGGTGACTCCTCAGGGTTTCTGCCACCATGTTTCTCTCTCTCTCCCCCCCCCTTTTGCTTTCTGCTCCTCCTGGGTTCTGTTTGATCTGCCTGATGACAAACTGGACTTGGTTCATTGAGCTCTTTTTTATTGTTCAAGCAACAAACTCCACTCTTCTGTTCAGGCTGTTATTAATGTTCCTGCTGTGCACAGGGCGGGGTGGGGTCGTAAACCAAGAATAAACCAAGATGCTACTCCTCCCCAGGGTGACTCCTCAGGATTTCTGCCACCATGTCTCTCTCTCTCTCTCTCTCTCTCTCTCTCTTTTGCTTTCTGCTCCTCCTGGGTCCTGTTTGGTCTGCCTGATGATAAACTGGACTTGGTTCATTGAGTTCTTTTTTATTGTTCAATCAACAACCTCCACTCTTCTGTTCAAGCTGTTATTAACGTTCCTGCTTGGGGTGGTGGTGGTAAACCAAGAATAAACAAAGTGCTAAAATCAGGAAGTTAAAGTCTGGATTTATCTTGGGGAAAAAGAAAGTCAGCAGCCCATTTTACCTTTAAAATAAAGCTGCCAGATTTCTAGGTAGCAGAGCTATTAAGAGATTGTGATTTTCTGCATTTTGCCAGTAATAACTACATTTTAAGTGTATTTTCCTCCTCCCGTCACATATCCTTATGTAGCATTTATCTAGTTGCATGTGAGTGCACGAGGAAGGACAGCAAAGAGATAAGCAACCTCTAGTGCTTTCTTAATTACTCAGGTGTTGCACAGTAAAGTGAGTTTGAGGGTAAAGGTCCTTAAAACAAGGAAAGAGAAACAGATGGAAGGAAATACAGGCCATAGTATAGAGCTGTAGAAACGGGGAAATGTGCTGTGGTCTTTTTGTCCTCAAATTGTAGTAGGATCTTGCATAAAAATTCTCACAGCAAGCCAAAAGCTTGTGAAGTACTGAATCTCTGTGGCAGGTGGCCAGTAGATCCCCCCCCCACACCCCAAGAATGAGGTGATGGACTGTTGGACACATTTGCAGGCCTCGGAAGAAATATATACTGTAAATATAGAAGGTCTGAGCACTCCGCATGCGAAGGAACTGCATTTCCCCCTCTACTTCGCTTGCCCATGGATGTGGTGGACGAAAATGAGGCCCTGCAACAGTTCTTTGAAGGTAAGAGTGTGGTGGCTAAAGTAGTAGAACCACTGGAATTTTATTTTTGGGGGTCTCATTGTCCCTCCTTATTCTAAACAATTGAAAGATAATTCTTGGATTGTTGTTGGTGGAGTTGGTCCCCTTGGGACTCCTTCCAACCTTAGAATTCTGTGATTCTGTGAATCCAGGTGAATCTTTTCTGGTGGGTTATCAGGTCTTATATTAAATTCAAATAATTAATGCAATACTGAAAAAAAATCCTCAAAACATGCCAATAACTTGCTAGATAGAAGTGTATTTTGCTTCACATCTGAAGGATGGTAGTGTTGAGATCCTTCCTTTCAAGGAAGGTATGCCTTAGTGGAGTTTTTGGCTGTAGAAAGTCACAACCTTGGAAGATAGGTTTGGCTGATAATTCCATTGAACGGAAAAAAAGAGTTGTGTGGCCATTACACGGTACAAATGCAATAGTAGCTGATATCTTTATACACCACTAAAGAAATCATACAATCTGTTAGCTTTTGTGAATCAGGGCCCACTTCATCAGGCTTGCATCAGTGTCCTGTCATTAGTGCCAAAAAGTCCCAAGAGTGCATGGTAGATAGATTTTACCAGGCATTTTTCTTAGATGTGAGTTAGGAAAGGCTGTATTGGAGTTGTGGTCTTAAAGTTACAGCTGAGGAAGCTATTAATTGGATGCCGCATTCCAGTTCTTCAAAGAAGTGCAGGCATCATGCAGATACCTTCCCGTTTGGCCTTCCTTAGAAAGTTTCTCTTCAGCTGGGGAACACTGCCACCACCTTGCCCCGTATATTCACCCAAGGTGGGAAAGTGAAGAGAAAGGCAGTCCAAGTGGTGGGCCAAAGGGGATACCACGACTTTTCTCCCCCGTGGCCGCAGCATCCCCATCTCTATGTGGCACTTGCCTGACTCTTTGTTTCCTGTTGTGGGCCTGATCGGAGAACTGACTTCCTCTCCTCCAACTTTCCCGCCTCCTCCTTTTCTTCCTCCCTCTCCTTCTCCCACGCATTTTATTTGGCGGTAACAGCAGCCGGTGCAGCAAGGAACCTGGTCTAGCTCACATCACTCAGATCTGCTGTGCTGTGGCTGCCCACTCTCTGCTCCTCCACTCTCAGGGGCAGCTGAGACAGAGACGGGAGTGAAAGCACCGAGTCCCAGGAAGGACTGAAGGAAAAGAGCAGTCCTCTTCATGGGGCTCCAACCAAGCCCTTTTACCTCTTGAAAGTTCCCACTCCCTTGGATCTCTCTGATGGACTGCTGATAGCAGCCCTCAGGATGCTATTCGATTAAAAAAAAATTCATTTGTGACTTTACACACAGTGGTGTGAAGGGAAGGTTACATGGAAAAAGGAAATGAAAGAATACAAAGCTTACATGCATCTCTTTTCTCAAACATGGATGAATCCTTTTTTAAAGGGTCTCTTGTGGAAAGCCACAAAAGAGACGTGAACCACTGAAGAAACATCTCTTTCATGTTTGTTCTCCATTCATCATAACATGGAAGTCCCATCCCTAGCAAATACCACAAACTCTCAACAGCTATTTTAACCTCATCCAGCAGTTCACAAGTCACAATGACTATAATGACAGTGGAGTGTTTCTGGGTATATTTCTCTTGGTGTCAATGTACCATGTTAGTAGGCCCTCTACATAGTTTGAAAAACTCTTCTTTATATAATAGTATTTAGCTACCATTATGTGAAATATACTGGGTTTGACAGTGCTGCAAAGAAAAGGGAAAAAGAAAGCTTATATGGAATACTGTGGTGATATTTGTAATACAGTAAATGGAAATATTTACTTAGTTTTCTTAGAAAACTAAGATCATGGCCACTGGCCCCATCATCTCCTGGCAAAGAGAAGGGGAAGATATGGAGGGAGAAACAGATTTTACCTTCTTGGGCTCCATGATCACTGCAGATGGTGGCAGGAATCACGAAATAAAAAGACGCCTGCTTCTCGGGAGGAAAGCAATGACAAACCTAGATAGCATCTTAAAAAGCAGAGACATCACCTTGCCGACAAAGGTCCGCATAGTCAAAGCTATGGTTTTTCCAGTAGTGATGTATGGAAGTGAGAGCTGGACCATAAAGAAGGCTGACCACCTGATGCTTTTGAATTGTGGTGCTGGAGGAGACTCTTGAGAGTCCCCTGGACTGCAAGGAGAACAAACCTATCCATGCTAAAGGAAATCAACCCTGAGTGCTTACTGGAAGGACAGATCCTGAAGCTGAGGCTCCAATACTTTGGGCATCTCATGAGAAGAGAAGACTCCCTGGAAAAGACCCTGATGTTGGAAAAGTTTGAAGGCAAGAGGAGAAGGGGACGGCAGAGGATGAGATGGTTGGACAGTGTCACCGAAGCTACCAACATGAATTTGACCCAATTCCAGGAGGCAGTGGAAGACAGGACGGCCTGGCATGCTCTGGTCCACAAGGTCACAAAGAGTCGGACACAACTTAATGACTAAACAACAACAACAAATGGAAATATATTTTCATAAACAAATGTAAAAATATAATTTTCTACTTTTTAAAGAAGCCTCCAGCTTAAAATTCTGTAGAACTGTCTTTTAATCCTTTGAAAGCTGAATAAACTGAATGTTTAATTAATTAATTTGATTAGAGATGTACACTACCTGGTTCAGATCATGTTCATATATGATGGGAATGAATCAAAATTCAGTCTGTTTGGGAGAAAGCTATGGGGTAGAGTAGAAAAATGTTTTACATATCATTGCCCTACCATGATAAATTTTATTCTGGGGTAAATCTATTGCAAAACCACAGGGCAGCTGAGCTGCCACATACAGTACATGGAAAAATGCTGCAATCTACAGGTTAAAAGTTGGCTGAATAGAATATGGACCACACTGTAGGTGATAAATATATGCGTTTAATACAGAACTTGAAAATGTTTATTTTTTGCACAATAATTCTCCACATAAGTAGCTGGGACTCTGTGTTACAAAAAGTGTTATTTTATAGTTCTTGCTTTAATATAAAGATGGCAGTTAAGGGGCAGTTACCATTAGGGTTTTTATTTTAAGCTAGTTTTTATTTGTTTAGTGTTTTGCATTTGCATTTTCAATAACCCATAAGTAAGAGTAGAGACTGCCACAAGATTTGTTAGGGTGTTAATTTTTTCTAGATGCCCAGCTGCCATTGACTTCTTCTGAGGTCCACCATTCTTCCCCAATCTGCTAGCATTCTGTCCCTTCTGTGCATACTCTGTCTTTGGGTTATTTTGCTGCAAGTTCTCCAGAGCTCTCCATTTATTTACACCCAAACTATGCACAGCATGTGCAGAAGTGTTCTGGAACAAGGCCCAATCGATCACCCAAGAATCTGGATGTTGTTCCACTCAGCAGTGATGTTCATTGTGAAACGGTGGCTTGGGAAAAGTTGAGACAAGATGGGAAGGAGGGCAGCTGGACCCTGCACAATGGCTGCACAGGAAAACATTGGAGGTTACTGAACTTTAGTTAGGTAATCTTGGGGTCAAACTAGACATTAAAGAGAATACACATTTCCTTAAATTAACCTCTTTTCCCTAATGAAATATACGCTTCAGTGAACTTGGAAATTAAGCCTATATTTACCTTCTGAGATAAGATTTACTTATCTTTTAAATAAAACATACTAATTACAAGATAGGTAAAGGTAAGGGTTCCCCTTGACAATTTTTGTCCAGTCGTGTTCGACTCTAGGGGGCGGTGCTCATCCCCGTTTCCAAGCCATAGAGCCAGCGTTTTGTCCAAAGACAATCTTCCGTGGTCACATGGCCAGTGCGACTTAGACACGGAACGCTGTTACCTTCCCACCGAGGTGGTCCCTATTTATCTACTTGCATTTGCATGCTTTCGAACTGCTAGGGTGGCGGGAGCTGGGACAAGCGACGGGTGCTCACTCCATCGCGTGGATTCGATCTTACGACTGCTTGGTCTTCTGACCCTGCAGCACAGGCTTCTGAGGTTTAGCCCGCAGCACCACCACGTCCCTACAAGATACATAGGAAAAATCACATACTATGACTAATAGATGTCTTTTGCTGCTTCAGCCCACAGTTCTGCAAAAATAAAACAACAACAACAACAACTCCCCCCCCTAACAAACAGGAACCCAAGATAACTCTGTTGTCTAGTTTGACACTTTAAGTGCGGATTAAATATCCTTATTCGCTGCTCAGTCCTGAACCCTCTGTTGAGAATGTGGAAAGTTGGTTTAATCTTTAGTGGTGGTAAGTGGGGTCTCCTGCTTTGGGGGCCTCTCCTACTCATTCTGCTATGTTGGACCCTGGACCTCTGTGCCCAAACCCTGTCATGACAGGAGGGACAAAAGGGAGAGGAAGGACAGAGACAAACGAAGAGACAAGAGGTCTGGGAACCAGAGCATAGGGTTTTGTGAAGAGACCTTGATCACATAAAGAGCACATCTAAAGATCTTCTCCTGCCATCTTGGCACAATTGCACCTGGACTCTTTGGTGCCAATTCTCTGATTAGTTAAAAAAAATTATTACTTTTTTTCCCGACTGAAAATGGAAATTCAAAAAGTTTGGGATCTTGAAAATTGAGTTCTCAAGTTTTAATTTGAAGGGCAAGATGTGCATCGAGCGCTGGAGAATGCCATGGTAGACACCCGCATGTTGGAAGAGTTCATAGACTCTGACTTTGAGTTATTTGGAAACCTGTAAGTATGATAAATGGAGCACCCCACTCACTTCTGCCTTTTTCTTTGGTTTCACTTGTTTATTGTAATTACATGCAGAAAACTGTAGCATGCTATCCTCTGCCTGGTACAGGGTAAATTAAAATCTGGGCTTTATTACAAATGTATTCTTCAGAGAGGAATGAGCATCTAAGTGGTAAAGTATGGAGTAACTTGAAAACAAGTCAGACTGGCAAAAATGAGTTTTTCTTATAGAAAGGCTCAAATCCTAAGAAAAATTAATTAAGAAAGTGGACAGAAGAAAACATTATTACCTTCTCCTTCCCACTGTACAGCCCCTCACGCCCCTTCCTTTTTTGAGAATTCCAGTTTCCTACCTAGGTACTATCCAAATCTTTTAGACTATAAATGCCATAACCCAAATAATGAGTAGTGCATGCTCTTGGGGGCTGATGGGCATTGCAGTATTTTAAAATATGGAAGATGTGGAGTTTGCGTTTATTTAGAAAAATATTGGACAAGGAACAGGTGACTGCAATAGGAAGGAAGAAACGAGACACTATGCTGCTGTTTCCATGAGTGCTGGGACTCAACAGCCATGAAATCCTTTCTGTGTGAATTTGCAATCGCTCAATTTCTTTTTAAATTTTTTTTATTTATTTATTTAAAAGAGTTGCAGTAGAGGGAAGGAACGGATCCTTCCTTTACTTTTCTTAAGTCCAGATATCTTTGAATCTGTGTGAACATCTCCAAGAGTACAAAGAGACATAATTTCTGATTAATGAGGCCCTTGGATTATGCTGAAATGGTAAAAGATTACCACACTTTCAGAGTATACGATCCTCTCCAATAGGCAACATTGAGTGCCTTAATTAATGTGCCTTAATTCTTATAGCTCATATGAATGGATTGTGATCGATATGAAGAGGGTAGTAATCATCAAAGTAGTTGCATTTTGGAAAGAAGAAAATAACATGGACTTTACAGTCATCTTAACGTCTCATGGTACTGCATTTCTTCTTAATAACAGTGCAGTATTTATAATTTACCTCTAGTATTTGCAATATTTATTTATTTATTTAAATTATTTTGCCCCACCTTCTTAAAAAAGACCCAAAGCAGCTTTACATTATTGAAAGACATTTAAAGCTAAAAACAATGAAAAGGCAGCTTACATCATTAAAAGACAGTATTAAAGCTAAGTTTGCATTATATACAATATATTATATATATACAATATGTACAGTATATACTGTATTTCTTTTTCTGTGCGAGAGAGATGGAATGTTCTAGTCCAACTCTTAATAAGGATTACCAGATGTCAACACAATATGAGATTTAATGACATGCCCATGCAGATCTGTTTGAAAAACTCTCCATAAAGCACTGCAGTGTACAGTGTTATGTTAATCAATACAGTACAGTATTGTGAAACCTGACTGTTTCCTAGTGGTAAAGTGGCTTTCGTCCTCTGCTCCTTGGATCCCCCTGTAGGCAAAACAAGCTACCAGACTCCCCACCAGATTCTGGCTCCGAACTATGTTCACCACCACAGTTCACAGGTGGGTTGCTAACTTCCTAATTTCCTAGCATTCCAGATGGAGTTTATTTTGATGTTCATAAAAACAGCAATCCTGGATGATTGTTTCCCCATTTCTCTCCAGCTGCCTGCTGCTCCACTTCCACCACAACTGAGGTGCCACAACCACCTGCTTTCCCTTCCTTCGGGATTGCTAACAGGTTTCCTGGCTGTTATTTGGAAGCATCTTCCAAGAAGAATATGAATGGACAGATCTGTGGAACACTCCAAGATGGTTCTCTGAATACAGCCAATGGTGGGACTCCCTGGAATAACTCTGGGTCTTCAAATAACCTTGGTTTAAGTGGCCTCCCACCAAGAACCCCTCTCAGACCTGGGTAATTGAGAATTGTTGTTGCTATGACATAAGAAAGAAAGTATAACAGAAAGCACAAGAAAAAACTTTGCAGGAATATTGCTACAGTTTAAACTTTACAATGACCATGCAGTCTGTGGACTGCCCCAATGTAGTGATGTCCAGAGCGGTTGCATGGCAGCTGCCACCATCCTCTCCGTATGGCCAATGGTCAGGAGGTATGGTAGTTCTAGTCTAAAAACATCTAACAGCTGCTAAAGGATTAATGCTACTGTTGTCATGACGGTAAGCGCCTACTTCACCAAATGCTCAGTTGATGCACATGCAGAAGGACTTCTATATCTCCACAAGGTGGCAGTATTTAAGTATTTAGTCAGCTCATTCCTACCCACCTTGTTTACTCAGAGGTAAGCAGGTAGGCAAAAATTTGGAGCCATGCTCTATCCTAAAATTTAAATACTGCCCCCCCCCCGGTTTCCCCTAAAACACCGCATTTTCCATTTTAGGACTTTCAGTCAATATTTTCCATACAGAGCCCTTGTCTGCCAGACAATGTTTTTTATTGTGCAATTCCTGTGCTGCATTCACATAATTTTATTAACAGAGGAGGGAAGCCTGACCATGTCGTCTTCCATGTGGAACATGCCATTTACGCCATCTTTTCTCCTATCATATAAGTCCCATTAAACAGGGAAAGATGGAATTAATTCATGGTGTCTTTTGCCTGGTAGCTCTAGGGGCCATGCTATATATTACAGGTTAGAAGCTGAAATCCATTCTAAAGATACGATGAAAGGCAGATGTTTGTGACAAAGCACAGCTGGCTGGATAGTGGTTCTAAGTGGTTCACATATCTGAAGCCAGAAGTTGGAAGTTCAGTTCCCCACTGTGCCTCCTTGGCAGGGGCCGGACTTGATGATCCATAGGATACCTTTCATCTCTGTGGTTCTAAGACTATGATGATGATGATTTTGTTTTTAAAGGATGAGATCTAGAAATTGTGGAGTACTGGTTTTGGGAGAGGATGGGAGTTTCAGAGGGATTTTGCTACTTTTTATTTTTAGCTGCTCTCACACATGTGACCTTTCATCTCTGTGGTTCTAAGACTATGATGATGATGATTTTGTTTTTAAAGGATGAGATCTAGAAATGGTGGAGTACTGGTTTTGGGAGAGGATGGGAGTTTCAGAGGGATTTTGCTACTTTTTATTTTTAGCTGCTCTCACACATATGTAAATATACATCAATGTACCTACATCACATGTGTGAACACACCTGTTGCTTTAAAAAATCAAATCTATCTATCTATCTATCTATCTATCTATCTATCTATCTATCTATCTATCTATCTATCTATCTATCTATCTATCATTTATTTATACCCCACCTATCTGGTCTACTCAATGAACACACCTGCTGCTTTAAAAAAAGTCCCTGCTATCTGACACAACACTGTACCAGATAGCAGGGATTCTGAAATAATAAAGCGAAAGCACTGCTCTCCCACTGCCTGCCAGATTGCGGGCTCGCCCACTTTCCCATGCCTCGGTCATCTGTCCCTGTGTCCACACTCCATGCCCCCTCTTTCTCTTTCCATCCATTTCCCTTTTCTTCTTGTCCTCTTCCCTCTCCGTTCTTCTTGTCACACATCCCCACTGCCCAATCGCCTGCCACCCACAATGAACCTTCTGGTGGCAGTGGAAGACACCTTCTATCACAGATGGGGGAATTCTTCCAAGCAGCTACAGACCTGACCATGAAGGGTTCCGTGCTGCCTGGGAAGCCGTGAGAAGCTGTGGAGCCAAACCCCCCAGCTGGGATTGTGGAGGGGACCGCCTCCCAGCTTGGGGATTCAGCTCCGCTGCTTCTTGCAGGTTTCTGGGCAGGACTGAACAGCTGATGGTCAACCCTGCTGGTGGGAACGTCTACAGCGATTCAAAATCATGTGACTGCCACATGGTTTTGAATTGCTCTTATTTACATTGCTGTAGGCAGTGATGGAAATGACCAATGCATATTTTAAAAATCCCTTGCTGGACAGTTGAAAAAACAACAACACTTCACTTTGCAGCCCATATAAATCAATTTCACCCTTGCATTGTGGGAACAATTAAATCTAAATCACTATAAACTATGCTTAAATGCGGTTCTTATTGTCAGTGTGACCACAACCTCAGTCAGCTGCTGATAAGACCCCTTATCTGAGAAACCAATTCCTTTTCAGGATTGTTCTTAATCCTATAATTGCTGCTGGAAACATTCTTTAAAACCGACTACAATTTTTTCCCCTTTCCAGCCTTTCCTGGACATCTAAAAAGAGGAAGCACTCTGAGATGCTGGAAGATCCTCTGGAATATCTAACATGGTCTGGCAGTATTGGACAAAGTAAGTAAGCATGTATGTGCCGGTGGGTGGGGGATAGATTTTAGTATAGATATACATCAAATATGCCTGATCTGCCTTCATTTAACACTTTGAAAAAGAGAAGTAATGAGGATGAAATCTACCTGACATTGTTAAAGCAAAAACACCGGTCTTTTGAGACAAATCTTTCTAATCTTGCTAAATGAACTATCCCCGCCATTTCTTTTAAGGTGCTCATAGGGCAGAGTCTGAATGTCTTTGTTGATTTACTTTTCAATAATAGCTTGTTGTGTTCTAGTGGCTCAAGAGAGGCGGTAACAACAGCTTCAAGTTCCGTTTTGTGTGCCTATTCACATGTATGGACACGCCCTGAGACAGATGCACAGACCCTTTCCCTGAAATAGAGTGGAATATTTATCTTGGCTGGTAGTGATAAACCCATTGAAACAAGTTTTTCCAGGAGGAACTTGTGACCACTTCCAGTCATCATTTCACCCTGGTCCAAACAGTTTCCAGCAAGGAATGTTTGCTTTTCACATTTGCTCTCTATTGCAAAGGGTCCTGGTGGGAAGTCCATTTGCACTGGAAAATTGGCTAGGGAAGAAGTTGCTTCACTGTTCATCTGCTTGCTGCTTCCTCCCTTCCTCCTGGTGGGGTTTCTGACTCGTATTATGAGCCAAACAAGGAGAGAGAGCTGAAATGGTTTGAAGGGACAGGCTGAGAACAGTAGAGGTCCTGAAAAAAGGTTAAGGACTCCCAGAGAAGGCAAAGACTGTGGAAAATATGCAATGCTGACATTTAAAAAGAGGCAGCTGGCTCAGAGACACCATGACATCTGGCTAAGGTTAGAAATCCCAACAAAGGACAGGGGAGAAAGAATGCAGCCCTTTTGGCTATGAAGAGGTGTGTGGCACAGTCATTGTGAGCACCCGATGTCAAGCTTACCACTTTGAACTGTGAACCTAACACAGGCCAGGTATATGTGTGATTTCAGAGTTAGAGCTGTGTATTCTAGATGTTGAGAAAGAGTGAAAGGAAGAGGAGAAGGGGGCGACAGAGGACGAGATGGTTGGACAGTGTCACTGAAACTACCAACATTAATTTGACCAGACTCCGGGAGGCAGTGGAAGGCAGGAGGACCTGGCGTGCTCTGGTTCATGGGGTCACGAAGAGTCGGACATGACTAAACGACTAAACAACAACAAAATCAAAATGAACACAACAGGAGGATCAGATGGAGACGTGGATTTATTTATGAGTGCAGTGTTTGCCTGTCTCTTAGTACCTCCTGAGTTTCAATGATGCTGCTGTGTCATGCTCTCTACTACTGCATGTTCTTTTTCTCCACAAAGCAAACCATTTCAGTTGGGTTCCTTAGCCTCTCTGACCTGTTTTATGGCAAAGTGCTGTATCCTCTCGCTCTCAACTGAATGATACCTGTTTTTGAAGAACTAGAGTACTTTACCAGTTAATTATATATCTCTGAATTTGATTTGATGGTCTTGCAGTATAAATGTGACTAGTAACTATGTATCCATGGTTTCAGCATGTATGAGGAAAGGTACTTGCCTATCATTTCCATAGGTAAGAAGCTTAGATATTCTCTTGCATAATCCAGGATGCCTTGGTGGTGAGGGCATGGCTGGGCAGCGAAGTTGGAAGTGACCTAATAGGGTTTCTGAGGCAAGTGAAATATTTAAGGAGTGGTTTTACCAGTCCATTTCCCCACTGAGGTTCCATGACTGAGCAAAGATTTGAATCCAGGCCTCCTGAGACCTAGTCCATCATTCTATTCACTACACCATTCTGGGTATTGGAATAAAGATACACATTCTCTCTCTCCCCCCTTTTAAAATGATATTCCTGTTTCTTGAAATACTTTAAACATATACTGTTTTCTTGGTTTTTAAAAATTTCATTCAGACCATATTTTAGGATGAACTTTTAAATCATATGAGGAAACCTGATATCCTAAAGTTTGAGACAGTATCTGTGGGCTAAATCCAATGTTACTTCCAAGTACAGTAGATCCATAGAAACTGAGGTAACATCTGTTGTTACTCATGTTTACAAAAGTGGACCTAACTCAGCATGCTATACACAAAGAATGTGCAATGGTTTTCTTCTGAATTATCTCTGAATTAACAGCAGTCACATTTCACACAGAAATGAAGAGCACCCAATGTTTGCCCCTATAATTAAATAACATGCAAAAATACACTTGTGTATATTTTTGCATCCTTTCTTAAAAGAGCTCAGGACTTCATATATTGTTGTTGTCCATTTTAAAATGTTTTTATCACATTTCTATTGCATCTTTCCTCTAGAAGGCTCAGGGTAAACATACTTCCCCTCCCCTTTTGTCCACACTACAATCTTACAAAATAGGCAAGGATGAGATAAAAACTGCAGTTAAACTATTTGTTTAAGCCTTTAGATTATATTGAATCATTTAAAAAAAAATACAACATCTATAAGAACATTACAAAATCTATACCTGAAACAAAAATTCATGCTATACACAAAGCCCTAAAAACAAGTAAGAAATACCAATAAGATTTATGAATTTTAACAGAAAGCTACCCGTCATTCAAGACATTTTAACTTCCTTCTTATTTACCAAGTGTTTGGATATAAATTCAGGTCTAACTTTAACAACAGCAAAAGCAAAATATGGTACCATAAACATCTTTGGGTAGTTTTCTCTTGTTAAGACTTTGGGCATAAATAGGTTTTAAATGTAACAGATCATTCAATAGTGTAATACAGTACATTTATGAATATGATACAGACAAATTATATCAAAATAAAAATGAAAATATCAAAATTGTGAAGGAGAGAAAGCTAGTGAGCCGTCCTCAACAAAAAGTGTGCAGGAGGAAGCATGTGGATTGTGTAGAGGGCGTACCCATAGAAATAGGGGAGGAAGGAATGAAGGAAAGAAGTGCAGTAGAAGCATGCCTGTCAGAAGACAAGGAGGAGGGAGAAGGGGAGAAGCAAGATCTGATAGTGTGGGAGGAGGTTATAAAAGAGTGGGGTGACGTGCAAGAATTTAGAACCGAAATGGACCAGACAAAGAAAGGTACTGTACTAAAGATTGTGCGGTGCAAACAGAAAAAGAAGAAGATGCATCAACTAAGGTCTGTGACTTATTAAAAGACTTCCCAAATTTAAAGACAGGAGGAGGACTGCTACCAGATCCAGATTTACCCAAAGTGGAGAAAAAATCGGTGAAGCCTCTAGAATGGACGGTGGTAGTTTACCCTCGCAACCAAGGTGGAGGGAGGGAGGTGATTCGTCCCAGTCCCTCTTACAATGTCCCACCTCTAGAAGGGGACTGGGTGAGACATCCTTGCTGTGGGACAGTGTGCGCAGTAAGGAGCACCCCTTTGAGGGAGAAGACCGATCATGAGCGCTTTGGTCCAGCCCCACTCTAAGAAGTGATTTGTTAACGCCGGGAACCCAAATCCTAAGTTACAAGACGTTAACAGAACTGAGTTGTTTCAACCTGTTTAATTTAGTTGATCATGATATTGGAGTTAATAAAATTTCAACCTGTTTAATTTAGTTGATCATGATGTTGGAGTTAATAAAGTAGAACCTGTTGAATTTTTAAAATCATCTCCATCTCTTATTCCTGCCAAAATGAGGGAACTGTCACCAGATCAAGAAGAACCTGATAAAATAAAAAGTGAAATGTATTAAATTCAAATTCAAATTTATTCACATTTTATTTAAAATTCTGCATTAAAATAGACATAAAATTCTGCTGGTTAAGCACCATCTAGTTTGGCTAAAAGTCAAAACAGAAGAAAAATAAGCTTTACAGTTAGAAGCTGTTAGTATGTCATTTCTCCAACAGGGGTTTTTAATTACATGTGGGCATCACCACTTTGGCAAGTAAACTGGTACTCTGATCAATCATTTTCCAGTGCCCATTAAAGATGTTTCTTCTGATATGCAAGAATATGACAGTGATGGACAGAATGTGGGGTGTGCTGAAAAATGCTGTCAGTCCTTCGCATGGCAACCGTATCAAAGAGCTTCCTGGAATAACCTGTTTAACCATAATTATGAAAAACTGTAAGTACCCATCATGTTTAGTCCTTTCATTGTGAAGTTAAGATGTTTTGAAAGAAGTAGCACAGTTGTCTTTCTTGAGAATGGCATTGAGCATAGGTTTGATTTTAAAAACCCTTAGCAGTTAGATCAGGGCTGGGCAAAGAGTCGTAGAGCTTCCTGGAATAACCTGTTTAACCATAATTATGAAAAACTGTAAGTACCCATCATGTTTAGTCCTTTCATTGTGAAGTTAAGATGTTTTGAAAGAAGTAGCACAGTTGTCTTTCTTGAGAATGGCATTGAGCATAGGTTTGATTTTAAAAACCCTTAGCAGTAGCCTTTCTAATGTTGCTGGACTCCATTTCCCATTAGCGCTAGTCAGCATAACCAAGATTCCTTCTTTTCTTCTGATTGTAACTCAAGATGGACTGTAAGTAAACATACTTTCTACGCCTTCCGACCTGAGGGGCCCATCTTCCAGCGTCATATCCTTTTGTTTCTGATCATGGGGCATTCTTGGCAAAGATACTGGAGTGGCATTGCCATTTCCTACCCCAGGTGGATTGCGTTTAGTCGGAACTCTCCACTATGTCCTGTCCATCTTGGGTGTCCATGTACGGCATAGCCCATAGCTTCTCTGAGTTACTCAAGCCCCTTCGCTCCGACAAGGCAGCAATCCATGAAGGGGTGGGCAAAGAGTAGCCTTCCTAATGTTGCTGGACTCCATTTCCCATCAGTGCTAGTCAGCATAACCAAGGGTGCAATTCCTTCTTTTCTTCTTTACTCTTCTGATTGTAACTCAGGATGGACTGTAAGTAAACATACTTTCTTTTCTACCTTAAGCTAGGTAAAGAAGTGATTTCTTATATACAAAGGGGACTGGGTTGGAACTGGGATTTTTGGCTCTTCTCTCTTCATGTGCTGTAGATTGGAATTTTATCCTTCATACTTTGCTGACAAAAGGCAGTCAAATTTTAAGATTCCACAACAGATATTTCCTTCTTAAGAACTACTATCATATCTCTGTGGTCTCCTACTAATATCCAGTTCATTCACATCCATCTAGCAGTTTAATAATAATCTAGCACTCTGCTAGATTGACACACCTTGCCGACATAGTCAAAGCTATGGTTTTTCCAGTAGCGATGTTTGAAAGTGAGAGCTGGACCATAAAGAAAGCTGACCGCCAAAACATTGATGCTTTTGAATTGTGCTGCTGGAGGAGACTCTTGAGAGTCCTCTGGACTGCAAGGAGAACAAACCTATCCATTCTGAAGGAAATCAACCCTGAGTGCTCACTGGAAGGACAGATCCTGAAGCTGAGGCTCCAATACTTTGGCCATCTCATGAGAAGAGAAGACTCCTTGGAAAAGACCTTGATGTTGGGAAAGGGTGAAGGCAAGAGGAGAAGGGGACGACAGAGGACGAGATGGTTGGACAGTGTCATTGAAGCTACCAACAAGAATTTGACCCAACTCTGGGAGGCAGTGGAAGACAGGAGGAGGGCCTGGCATGCTCTGGTCCATGGGGTCACAAAGAGTCAGACATGACTTAACGACTAAACAGTAAAAGCACTCTGCTGCCAAAATGGTTCATTTCATATGGTATCTTTCCAGTCCTTAGGCCTCTCTATCATCCTGCCTGGTCCTAAATATTTCACAAGCTTGTTACACTTAACTTCAAAGCTCTCCATGCACGCCTATCTCTTTTTCTATACATCCAATGTCACCATCCTTGGCTATCCATCAGTCTTCTGGTCCTGATAGCCATTGCATCCTTTTATCTTATGACTAGACCTTCTTCCAAAGATATCTCTCTGGGAGTACCTCCTTGATTTCCCATCAACCCCTCCTCGAAACCCATGTTTTCTTTGATGCTGATCAATAACCGCGGCATTTCTCAGTCCCTATACCTTACTGTGCTGGCTGAATAGCTCAGTGAGTTAGGTTTCTGTCTGTGGACCAAAGGGTTGGGAGTTCAGTTTCCCACTGTATAGCCAATGTGGCCTTTGGGCAACCCATACAGTCCCAGGATACCCCTGTAAAAAGGGAATGGGAAACTATTTCTGAGTACTGTCTACCTGGAAACCTTGAAAAAGCTCACTGTAAGTCAGAATAGACTTGATGGCGCACAACACCTTATGGTACCCAAGCCAATCAAATGCATGTCTATGTATGTATGTATTTATTCACAGAGGAAGAGTGGTCAAGGCAGCTTGCAATCATTATTAATGATAAATTAAAAACAAATTAGGAACAAATTGAAAAAGAAAAAGAAAAATATACTAGTAAGGTCATTGAGATCAATACAATATTTGGTAAACATTTTAGATAGTAAACCCTTGATGACAAGAAGTTCTGTGTGAAGGGCTGAATATATAGATGATGATAATGGTAAATACACAGTAAATGTCCTGTGAATGGTACTGAATGGATGCAATCCAGTTTTCACCAAAGTTAAAATTGGCATCTTGAATTGGGTCTTAAAACAGTCTGTGCTGTTGTTTTAAAATGAGTGTTGAATGCCAGTTAGATAATTGTTCTCTGTATTGCCTGAGAGTCATTGTTAAATACAAAGATTCCTTTTCTGCTTTCTGTTGTAAATATTCAAGTGGTAAATTCTATTTACTTCATATATTAAAGGACATCAGTGTATTTGTTTGTGGGGTATCCATGTCTGTTTTTCTCAAGCTGATGCAAGCTAATTCGAGATATTATTGCTTTGAGACATAATTGTTAAACAGGAAGGCTGAATTCCTGTTCTCACAGCTACACTGTGTAAGGCCGATAACATCATCAGATATGGTGATTTTTAGGAAATAAAAAATGTCCTATTCCCCCTCTTAGAGTTCCCTAGACTCCCATTTAGGGTTTGCCTTTATTGTGGGGAAGCCTAGGGGGCCTGTGATGGGGGGGGGTTATCTTTAATTTCCAAAAATCTCTGCCATCAGTAAAATCATGCAGGGGCAGCAATTTTTGGAAACTAATCACTCTCCCCAGTTCTGCGGCCCCCAACAGCTCTCTCACAATGAAACTGAGAACAGGGGAGACTTGGGACCTTCACGTTGGGAGGGTGAGACATTTTCTATTTCTGAAAAATCCTCCAACCTGATGGCATCACCAGCCCGACATGACGTACATTCCGGAATGGTTCTGGAATGAGATTTCATTAAAATGTTATTGATGAGACACTGTTCCATTCACACGTGTTTCTTTATTCCTGTCTTTGTAGCCCAGATGTAGGATATCGCATTGTTACAGACAAAGGATTTAATTTTTCAGCAGCAGACGATGCCTTTATTTGTCAAAAGAAAAACCATTTCCAGATCACAGTCTATATTCGTGTGGTTGGAAATCCTAAATTTGTCAAAACCCGTTTGGGTTTGAAACCAGTGGAACTGTACCATTTGAACGACTAAAGGATAAAGGTATGTGAATCTTATGTGAATCTTTTCTTTCTCTCTCTCAATAATTCCAGTTGCCAACCTGTCCCCAGCACACAGGATCTATATGGTGGGTCAGGTTTACATATGAACCTCTGCATTTTCGGATCTTTAGGAAAGGCCTTTCTCACACTCCCATTACCCTTGTCGGTGTCCTTGGTGTGGACATGAGAGAGGGCCTTTTTTGGTGGCTGCTACTAGGTTATGGACATCCTGCTGTGGGAGACCTGTGGGGTGTAAAAAAAATTATAAGTAAATGAATAGATCATGCTAAACTATAAACTTTGCATCTTGGCCTTTTGGCTAAGATTAATATTTCAAAATTCTTTTTCAGTTAAGTCTTGTAGGTCAATGGCCTTGGAAAAGCTACTTTTGAGAACTACAATTCCCATCATGCACAAACCAGTGTGGACAGTGGCTGGAATATTATGGGAGTTTAGCCCAAACAAATAACTTGTCCAGCCTTTGAGATGGGCCAATGAGGTGGATTTGAGGAATGATGCTTTCCTTTATTCCAGCCAGACACACCAGCTGATATCCTCTTGAATAAGCTTAATGTTAGTAAATCTTCTTGTGTGAAAAGTCCTGTGTTAAACATTTTTGGTATTTTTAAAATTTTCTGTAGGTGGACACTCCCAGTCACATAATTGTCATTGAACAATCTCAGTCTGACCGAAGCAAAAAACCTTTCTCTCCTGTAAAGTAAGTGAAAAAGGCATCCTATCAATTTGTCTGTCTGTCTGTCTGTCTAAAGCAAAGATGGGCAAGTGCAATACCCACAGCATACTTGCCCTTGATCACCTCCACACATCCTCCACCTTTTAGATTCTAAACTATTCATTAGACATCAACCCTACTTTTTCCTCAGAAAAATCAGAGCAGTCCCCATATCTCTGGCTTAGGCACTTTTCCAGTTCCACATGGGTTAACCATTTTAACATCTTAGACACTCCTTCACTACACATGCCTTCTCCCATTTTATCCTTTCCAGCTGATTGCTCCTTTTGTTTTTTATTAATATAGAATCAGATGCTTGACTTTCCCATGATTTAGAAGTGAAAAGTTAGTTAATGCTTAGATATAGATGACATTTCGGCATCAGGTCAAAACCTTCCTGTTCCAGAAGGCTTTTAATTGAAATAATATCAACCGTGGTCCTGATGGCAATTTTTAGAGCATCTATTTTAATTGCATTTTAATTGTTTTATCTTTTTATTGTATTTTTATTGTATTTTAATTGTAAGCTGCCCAGAGACCTTTGGATAGAGTGGGCAGCACACAAGATGAATGAATGAATGAATGAATAAATAAATAAATAAATAAAAATAGCTTAAGGTGAGTGCTGTGGCCAGTTAGACAGCTGGTGGAGTTTGCTTGTCCAAAGTGTCCTCCTTGGTGTGCATAATATGACACATACATAAACGAACTTCTTTGAAGTCAGATCACATGTTGAGACAAGTGCATATTTTCTCCTTTTACAAAGTTATTCATCTAGATATGCAAATCTTTCAGTATTACATGTCAAAGATATTAGCCATGCAAAGGAAATTGTAGTATTTTCCAGCTGACCAATTAAAAACAAAATTTGGTTAATTTGCCCAGTGAGGGTTGTGGTAAGCATCTATTACAATCAACAGTCTTTTAAATAAATAAGTTCTACTTCTAATGAAATGATAACTATACTTTCTAAGTTGACCCTTGGTATGATGTTACTTAACCCCAAATGGTTCCTTTTCTTAGAGTCCAGGGCAAATCTCAATTTAGCCTTCACTGTTGTCATTTGTTGTTTTCTGGCAGAAAGATTCTCCCACACTGAAATTACTTCCTTTGCTAACACTCTTTGTCACTCCTGGCTGAGTTGACAGTTTCTGTTTTTACTCTGGATAGTAAGATTATACTTTGGAAGCTTGTCCATCACTTGGACCATTGTGTGACGCGTGTAAACCATGTGAAGATGTTGTCCTTGTCAACACTATCCACTCCCAGCCATGCAGCTCCCTATTATATGATTCTAAAAGGATGAGAAACATGTGATTTTTCACCTGGTTTGGACCATAACTCCTATGATCCCTTACCACTAGCTACACTGGGTAGAACTCAAGGGTGTTGCACCCAACAACTGGTGGTCTACATATTTTCCACACCTGCTCTAAATGCCCCATGTTAACTTACTGCAAGTTTTGATTGGAAAGTCTCTGTTCACTTTTTCTACTTCCCAGTCCACTGACTGGGCAGCAGCTGCAGAACCATATTGTGATCCTGATAGCCAAGAGCCGGAATTTAACATGCCAGATGAATTGTATTTGAAACCTTCTCTGAGAATGTTATTTTGCATTTTCTAATTCTGTATAGAAAAAAATGAGAGAGGGAAAACTTTTTTCCACTGATGTATGCATTAGCTTTCTGTTTTCTCCATGTCATGCTTTGTCTGGTCCTCTCTGAGTAAACATCTTGGGTTAAGCCAGATGTACAGTAGTTGTGTTCATTGGTTAGGAATGATAAATTGTCCCATTGATCTTAGTGCTCTAAGCATGGCTAAGTCTGGTTTGGTGTGTGGGTGGCTATATATAAATGCACTGCTTGACCATTCTAATTCATCTTTTTCTAAAACCCAATAATCCATCTCAGCTTTACAAGAAAGCTGAGAAAATGGGTTAATTGCTGGGAAGGTTTTTTGTACTGGTGCTATGGAAACAAATACATTTTTAGTTAGAATCCAAGTGTTCCTAAATGTTGATTTATAAGGCTTTATGTGCTTGAATTTATAAATAATGTAAGGATACAAGTAATATAACCAATAGAATTTTGAGTGTCCATGTGAGTATATTTATTTATTTGTTTGTTTGTTTGTTTGTTTGTGTGTGTGTGTGTGTGTGTATGTGTCTGTATGTCTGTATGTCTGTCTGTCTGTCTGTATGTATGTATTGGATTTATATCCCGCACCATCTATCAACCAGACCGCTCTGAGCGGCTAACAACAGCAATATTAAAAAACGATAAAAAATAAAATAATACATAGCAACAAGATAAATTAAAACAGATGGCAATGAAGGTGGTGAAAGAGTAATGAAAAGGATGGCAAAAAGGATGGTACTGTAAAAGGGAGTCCAAGATCTTAATGCTCCAGGAAAGCCTGACGGAAGATCCAAGTCACTTTTCATTTCCATAGGAAGACACACTGGGGCAGCCCTGATGTGAGTTTGTCTGGGGAACAAACTAGAGATGGCAAGGTATACACAGCAATTATGGTATATGAATGGCTTTCAGAGGCAGCCTAGCAGTGGGGCGCTCTGGTCTTGATTGGGACCGGGGTTGAAAGTCCTCTTGCAAGCCACAAAGATCTTCACCCATTGTCATCCCCTGCGCTTGCTGCTCAACTTTTAAAAAAAGAATTGATGCAGTTGCTGATTGAATGAATTGTGTCACATTTAACTTTCAGCTGACCACTTACGGTGAAATCACTATGGGTCTTGCCTTCATATTTTACAGGTGGTTCACAGAATGAGTGTATCTGTACTACACAATTATAGCCACTTCATCCTAACTGTCCTAGTCTCATTCCATGAAATCCTTGGATTTGTACTTTGGTGATGTACTTGATAGTTCAGGGATGGCAGTAAAGCCATCTTACAGAAAATACGAAGGACATCATGAAGCTACAAATCTTAGGCTTTTGTGCAGTGGAACTGCTATAGAAATACTGTATGTAGCTGCTATTCTGCTCTACAGCTGTTGGGTAGTGCAGATACACTCAACGCTGCCCATTTGTAATCCTTCCTTCTTTACTTGGTGCCATTTCCTTCTATTTTCTTACCATAGAAAATTTGACTTTTCTTTTGAGAAACACAAAAGAGTGACAAAATCCACAAAGTAATGGCAGCTAGTAGTGATATTCTTCCATTTTTTAAAAAAAGAGATGCAGTTTTTAAAGAAGCACAGAGGATGATCTGTTGAGCAGGTGGACCCATCAAAGCTCAGTATACATTTAATACAACATTTATACTCTTTTTGGGTGCCTTTTAAAATGTGATTTTCAGGTTTAATAATTTTAAATTTAGCATTAAGGGTTTATATAGCTATAACATGTTAGGGGAAAGTAACGGTGTGGGATTATACTACTATACTCTTATAGTAAACACTAAAAGGAAAGCTCTTTCTAATCTGTGCCATTAACTACATTATTAAAATGGCAATAATTGGAAAGGAGTTGTTCCCTGTCCTCAGTTAAAATGACTGAATTTTAGTTTTATAAGGACAAAATGCTAAACTTCCTTTCCTTTAAGTGGCAGTGCCCCCTTCGTTTATAATATGGAATACTTATGTAATAGAGCTGGCAATATTTGCTACTTTATATCTTAGAAATTATTTTTATTCATATTAATATCTTAATGTCTGCTACTTTAAAGACAGATGGAAATAATGGGTAATAAAAATGGCAATGTTTGCTAATTCATATTGTCATCATCATGATCTTAATATCTGCTACTTTAAAGATAGATGAAAATAATGGGTAATAAAAATAGCACCTACTGCTTAAGGTATAATCAATATATGCTGGGTGTTGATAGTATCATATGCTTAATAAGTCACTACCCTAAGTTATTAAGTACCCTTAATAAGTCACTAATAAGCATTCCCATAAAAAAGATGGAAGAGTAACACAAAGTCATATGTGCTGATGTAACATAGCTTGAACACATATGCGCAATCTGTGGCTGAAATCCAATATTAAGTCAAAGCTAGACTAGACCCCCCCCCACTTTAGTTTTATAAGGACAAAATGCTAAACTTGGACCAAGTCAAAGATAGACTAGACTCCCCCCCCCGAATAAACAGAGATTTGGTGAGTTAATCCCTATGTAAAGTTCCATTGGTCCAATTGGCTTACTCTAGTTGCAATTTACTACTGGATATCAGCCAGTGTAACTATACTATCATTATAGCGCTTTAAGACCATTTAATGACCTTGGCTCTATCCTGAGATTTGTAGTCCAGACTTTGGTGAGATACTTGAAATTCTCAGAGAGAATTCTCTAGTGGACTACATTACAAATCCCATAGAATGGAGGCATAGTAGTTAAAATGGTATCGGACTGCAAATTGTGTAATATTGATACACTCAGTATTCCCTGACAAGTCTTGAGAGTTAACAGTAATTCCACTTGTAGCTTATTGCAAAACAGCAATGATCCACTACCGCTAGGATGTTTCTCTTTCAGAAACACTTTCAGTCACCTTGAGTTGAGGTTGCTTAAGTGCAGGATTGTTGCCCCTGATTTTTCCTTAGGATCATTAGGGCTGGAAAAAGTGATCAAAATAGGGAGACTCATGCCATCCTCAGGCTGTATGTTGTGTACCAGTGAAAAAGAGTATTGTTATGGTGATGGTGTCATTTAGAGCTAAAGAGCAGTTTGGACTGAGGTGAAAATGTTTTCCCAGCAATGTTTAAGAATAAAGATGTTATTTGGGTGATGCAAACTGTACATTAACAGATGATATAAGCTGACAGTGTGACATATTGTCTGTAATGTATATTTTGATCTTTGATTTGTATGATCCAAATTATATATTCTTATCTTTAAATGCCTCTTTGGAAAAATAGCTAGTCTCAGACTCTGGCTAAAATCCCCTTTGGTCAGAGACATGATTTGGGCAGAGTTTTGTTTGTAAGAAATCAGACTTGCAAACAAAGCTTGTGTTACCTTCTGAGGACCATTGCAAAACAAAGTCATCAGGTAACTTGCTACATACAAGAGGTGTGAAAGGTTCCTACTGTGAAAACTAGACACTTTCCACACGTAATCATCCCTCTTCTAATGATGTATTCTTTGCAATGTATAGTTTGACCTCAAGAGGCAAAGAAACCAGAAAGATGTATATAGAATATATGGATAGCAGAAGACTCAAGAGAGCTATTTGTGCCTGCTGACTGTATGACTGTTCACAGATAGCAAAAGCTGTGACCTCAAGAGGCAAAGAAACCAGAAAGAAGACTCAGGAGAGCTATTTGTGTCTGCTGACTGTATGACTGTTCATAGATAGCAAAAGTTATTGTTTTTCCAGTAATTTACAGATAATACTGCTGGACATCACACTTGCAGTTAACCATGTTACATCTGTTGCAAATGTAATCTGTAAATGGACAGACAGTTGAGAAATGTAGCGGAAATTAGGATGAGATTCAAGGTGAGGAGCAGAATGTCCTTTGTGAATACCACAAATTCACCCTGAGCCCATGTCTAATTTGAAGGGGGAGAAAGTATTGTTGTAAGTGAAAAAATATTTAAGGTGTTGTACAGAACTGAACTGTCAGGTCTATTTAAGGAAAACATGTCAAGTATCTCAATTAACAATGGGATGAAGGTTAATAATTTGGCAGAAAACTGTTCTTTTTCATTTATGTTTTAGACTCAGTCTCCCAGGAGACCAAGTGACCAAAGTAACCATGGCAAGATTGCACTTCAGTGAAACAACAGCAAACAATATGAGAAAAAAAGGAAAGCCTAACCCAGATCAAAGGTAATTTCCTGATTATTGATAGTTCATGTGTCTTTTTCTGCACCATGAAAATTAATCTGTGCTACATAAACCACATTGCGTATTAACACTGTGAAGAAGTTTGTGTAATAATAATTTACTAGTAACATGTAACTTGTATTGTGCTGTTGGTGATGGTACACAGATGCTGGCTAGTGAGCAGGGCAGGAGCAGTGCCTTCCTCCAAAACCTCCATGTGAGATGCTCCCCTATTTCAGACTGCAAAGTGGATATGACCCTCTCTCGTTTTCTTTCTGGACAAGTATGAATTGGCTTTAAAGGTTTGGCACAATCTTCAGATAATTTATAGGATGTAATTGTCCCCAACTGGCATGCCTGTGCCTTCAAAAGCCTTTCTAGAAGGAATGTCATGTTTCTGGTTGCAGTGCCAGCCCTCCTGTTAGACAGAATGAGGAAACTGTGTAAGATGGCTGATGGTGGTAAGTCGTAGTAGGGTGGTGAAAGGAACAACTGCCTGGTATTCTATTCTCCTGTCATCAGGTATGGAGGACAATATTGTCTAGTCACCTGTGTTGAAAAGAATGCCTTTTGTATCCCAATCCAGCTGCCTATGTACATGAAGGGAAGTGCCATTTTGATCTTCACTGCCAGCAGCAAAATGTCTTGGGCTGGTTGTGTCTGGATATCGCGAATACATTAACCATCTCACTTGTGTTTTGCATGTGGCACTCTGCTAGTACAAAATAAATACTGGGGTGTTGTCATAGATGTTTCTGTCACAATCAGCAAACAAAACAATGTTCTTTTAAATAAAATACACTTAAATACATACATTTAATGGTGATCTTCCATGATTTTAATACTATGCTAGAAAAATAAGTACAAAATTGTGAGCTTCATTTTATAGCAGGACTGCTGATTTTTATATCTACAATTGTCTAACTTTTTTTGGAAAAAATCAATTTAGATACTTCATGTTGGTGGTTGGATTATATGCTGTCAGTCAGGACCAGTCTTATATGGTGGCTGCTCATGTCTCAGAAAGGATCATTGTCAGAGTAAGTCAAAACCAATGTTACTGCATTTTTTTGGGAAAAAACACAGAGTCATATTCCAGATCATGGTGAACAGTAAATGTTTCCAAAGAATACTTACTTATTTCTGTTTTATTATCACCTGCATAGAATTTTACCAGGGGTATAGATATTGTCATTACTCCTTTTTAATCTTCCTGGGTTTCTAAATTATTATTATTCAAAGAATTCCAGATATAACCCTCATTCATCCATTTTAGGTTGTTACTTTTCCATCTTTAGCTGCTTGTAGAAACACAAAGCCACATACCAAAAATTTCTTCAATTGGCTGAAATCCTGTTGGTGTAGCTTTATTCTGTGCAAGCTGGATGATGTCATTATCTGATGACAAGTATCTTCAATACAATTCAATTAAAAACTTTCTACTATTCTTTCAGGTCCTAAGGCTCCCTGCAGATCCCTCCTGCCTTTGGTAGCCTTGGGACCAGGGGAGGGGGGCTTTCATTTGGAAAATTGCTGTTAGATTGCTGCAAGCTGTCCCAGTCTCATGGTGAGACCTCTGGGGGTGATTTTCCATTATTAAAGGTTTCCTCCCTCAAGTCCCAGGGCTTCCTAAGGATAAAAAGGATCCCTAGGGAACCTTATAACCTGAAAGGGGGGGGGAATAGATTGTGCAGGGTAAATTTACACCAACAGGATTTCAGCCAATGTTTTATTGCAAAGGAATTTGCCATGTTCCATCCAGTGAATAGATCATGACAAGTACAATTGGACTTCTACACACTTTTCTACCTATTTCAGCCTCTCTTTGCTCCCTGATCTTGTCCCTTCTGCTGATCTTTCTGAGCAGTATTTAGGTGTTTCCTCTACTTGAAGGCTCAGGATAATAATAATTCAAAAATCATATATATCTAGTTGTCCTTGGAAGAGTCATAATTTCTCAGTTTTACCTATGATGCTAAACTACTGTGATATCAAAATAGGATATTCACATTCCGTGTGCTGAATTACTTGCAGTTAAGTGTGGAATATAAACATTAACAAATGGAACTGCTAAGTAGAACCTGGAAAAGCCCACCCACCCCTAACTACAGTCTCCAAAAGGACCACTGTAGTCGTTGGAGAAATTGTTGTCAAAAAAAGTAACTTTGTGAAGCTGTGACATCAAAATTGTCCTATAAATACAAATGTTTGCATTTGAAGTTCCCCGTAGGTGTGAGGCAGACCAGTGATTGCTTTGTATGGGAGAAGCCCAAGCTCTGCTTTGTCTGCAGTCCTGGAAAAGCTTTGGAGTCTACTTACTGTATTGGGGTTAACAGGCATATCAGATCATGCTCCAATTGTGAGATGCTGAGCTTTGCATACTGCAGATGGCAGAACCTATTTTATTTTGTTCATTAAAAAGAAGGCTTTTCTGAATGAACGCTGAGCCTGAACTCCGTGCTAGTTCCTCTATTTTTTTTAAAAAAATATTTTATCACATCTGTTTTTCCCCCTACCAAAATTTAGGTCACATAAAAAAAGACCCTGATTAATATACTTTTAAAAAAATATTTTATCACATCTGTTTTTCCCCCTACCAAAATTTAGGTCACATAAAAAAAGACCCTGATTAATATACTTTTAAACAATTGAAATAGGTTCTAAGCATGTGAATCATTGTTGCTTGAGCTGTCAAGTCAGAACCAACTTATAGTGATGCTAACAGGGCTTTCAGGCGACTGAGATATTTAAGGAGTGGTTTTACCTGTTCCACACACCCCTAGTGAGTTTCCATGACTGAACTGGGATTTGAACCTTATCCATTACATCACATTGGGTATCATTTTAAGTAACATTTTAAAAAAATTAATCTTTTTTTTAAGAATAGATTTTAATTATGTGAATCATTGTTTTGTAGAGAAACTATTCTGTGCCTCAGCTCCAGCAGCACAATGGCAAATTTTCAAAAGCAGGAATTTATTTGCAACATTCCTTTGGTCAATCAGCATCCTTAATACCACATACGTTTTAGAGGAAACTGCTGAATTAGCTGAACTCTTAATGTTGCGGAATCTGTTGGTAATTTCTCCAGGAAGCATTGTTTGAAATAATTCATGTCTACAGAATTCTGCTGCAGTACAGTCGCTCTTCTGACCCAACTCCGGGAGGCAGTGGAAGATAGGAGGGCCTGGCGTGCTCTGGTCCATGGGGTCACGAAGAGTTGGACACGACTAAACGACTAAACGAACGACAGTCGCTCTGATCAGCTTGGCCCAGTTAGCATTACATTTCCTTTGCTATCTTGGCCAGCAAAGAGTTTAATGGCCTAGCTGCCTTCTTTTTGGAAGTTCTTTTGTTTTTAAACTATGTGGGAGGGAAAGGGGGAAAACCTATATTTATAGAATATATCTAATTGACTGTTTCACTATTCCCAAACAAACTTGAACATTGTTAATTTTTAATAGCCCCCCACCCATTAAATGCAAATGAAGACTATTATGAGCTTGAAAATATTTATTATGCTATCTGGTTCTGAACATGGAAGATACAAATCCTTATAATGAGTGTGTTATAGTACAAGCTGACAAGCAAGCAATGTCACATGGCAATGTTGAACAAATAAGGTAATACAACTGTCTGATGTTGTTCAATATTTCCCAGCTATTCTCCGCTGATCACACAGCATACCTTTGGTCTGCATTTGTTGCTGATCTCTATGGCCTATAAAGTGTAAGGGTAAACTTGGTTGAATATACTTGATTAGGCATGCGACTAGAATGCTGCAGAGAAGGGCTAAATTATTGACTTCTTCCTGAAATGCTACATTTCTGCCTTCAAGGACTTTTTCAATCAGAATAAAGAAGTTTCTGTACATACAGCTTTGAAAGAATACACAAAAAGCAGGAGCTCAGTACTGTACAGGCAAACTCTAATTTTTGTAAACCTTTCCAGGGTGGGATTTGCAAGACTCCTCCATGAGGCAAAGCTGTGGTCAGCAATATTAAACAAAAATGTCATTGGACCTCTTTACTGTATTCTGATTTGATAGATCAAAAATAAAAAGTCAGACAGACATATTTCTCATTCCTTCTTTACACATACCATATTATTTATTTATTTATTTACAAGATTTTTTTTAGCAACCCCATTACCAGTGGTCTCTGAGCAGCATACATTGTAGAGAAAGAGTGAGGTGCAGTGGCACAGCATATCCTTTTCATGCAAGACGTCCCAGTTTGACCCGTGCCACCTCCAGGTAGGGCTGGGAAAGGCTCTGATCTGGAAACTTGCAGAACTGGGAGCGTAACCAATCCTGATCCAGACAGACCAAAGATATGACTCATAACAATGTAGGTTTTGTGTGTTAGGTGGCCATCCAGCTTCTGCTTTCAAAACAACACAAAACACTTAAAGTTCTAGGAGATTATTTCATTTGGTGATAAATTTTTGTCTTGTTACAAACAAAAACCACAAAAGTACATTTTGAAGGAAATGCTTGGTAAAGCAAAATTTGCTTGGTACAGCAAAATTTCCACTACCACTTTTAAACTCTCTTCTTTTCAGGCCTCTAACCCTGGACAGTTTGAGAATGACAGTGGTGCGCTATGGCAGAGAGGGCATGTTCCTGAAGACGTCTTTTGTCACGGACAAGTAGGCATCAACACTGATACACCTGATGAAGCTTTGGTTGTGTGTGGAAACATGAAAGTTATGGGAGCGGTCATGCATCCCTCTGATAGTCGAGCCAAACAAAACATTCAAGAGGTGAGCACAATGGAGAAGAGATTGCTACTGCAACAGACTGGGGGGAGTGAGAAAAGAGACAGAGCCTTCTCAGGGATTGCCCCAACTCTTTGGAACGTCCTTCCAGAACAAAGTTCTGCCTCTGACTCCCTCTTTGGCCTCTTTACAAACAGGGCTTAAGGAGCTTGTTGTTCCAATCCATTTTTAACTAAACAAAGGGAGTGGTCTCTGCTTTTAAGTACTGTTCCTTTTATTTGGCACAGTGGACTTTTTAGGATGAATGTTAGTATAACCATATTTTAAACTGTTATTTATTATCTTATTCATGAACCCTCTTGAAAGAGTCTGTGACAAAACACATGTGAAAATGCATTGAGACAAAACTGTGATTAACCCAAACTGTTAAGCCTTTGCTTGTGCATTAAACATGTGCAAGGTGTCTTTCAGGTATTGGTACGTAGGAGGGAACTGCCTTGGAAGTTCCTTATTTCAGATCATAAAACCCAGAATCTTCTAGCTATACTGGCTGGGGGATGGGGGGGGGAATTGCTCTAGCCCAATGTTGCAAATCTAGTGAATTAAAAACATATTTAAAAAGAATGTCCATTCCACCTTTCTTCTTTAAAATAAAAATCAAGGCTGAATTTGCAGTGAGACCTAGCTAAGAAAAGAGGGACAACAAGGAATTTTGGCTTCAAAAAAACATGCAAAAGCTTTTGCCTTCTTAATGAAATACAAGAGTTTGTTTCCAGTCAAAACTGGACAGTAAACAGTGACAAGTCAGAGAATATAGGGAATACTGTGTCATGAATATTCACAGCAGATTGTAGGGAAAGATAACCCACATAAATCTTTTAATGGCTAAAACTACATGCCCTGAGCAGAGCATCTGCTACCTTTGGCTTTCCTGCACCCCAGAACAATGAAAATTATGAAAATGGGTATTTGAAAATAGAGAAAAGATTACGCATAAGTTCTGTTAAAATACAGGTTAACATTCTCAGATTTCATTATTCCTTCATCTTGTCTCATGATTCAGATTCCCATCTAGCATGCAGAGACAATACAAAGGTTTATTCAGCATTTAGCTCAAAGGCTCTTACTTCCGGAGCTTGGACAAGTTGTTGTTGTTGTTGTTGTTGTTGTTGTTGTTGTTGTTGTTGTTGTTGTTGTTGTTGTTGTTGTTGTTGTTGTTGTTTTTTTTCCTCTTCCTCTTCCTCTTCCTCTTCTTCTTCTTCGATGACATGTAGAAGCCCTTGTTCTGGCTGTGATTGCTGATGGATTTGGATAATATAGTCCAAAATTTAACTTTTTCAGGCTCTCTTTTGGTATGCAATCAGGTTACATTGGTGACTCAAGAAGCCAATGAATAGGGCTGCTCCTGAAAGTGATTGTTTTTTGCTTGTGCAAATGAGGCAATTTGGTATGTTTCTTGGCCTTGTGCTGAGCTGGCTTGAGAGAGCACAATACACACTTCTTTGGGCGAGGAGGAAGGCCGGAACTTTATTAGTTACAGTACCAGCCCCTGGCCTAGTACTGGGAAATTGGATCCTGTCCATCAAGAGACCTGAATGTCTCCCAGTACTCACCACTAGCTCTTTTAGCAGCCACTGAAGGTTCCACGGGGGATGGCAGTCCTCTGGGGACAATATGGGTGCATGACACTCCATTATTCCCTGCCACCTGAGGGCAGGGCTGGTTTGATGGATCCTGAGCTAGGCCAGACCATGGCCCTTCTCCCAGCTCCTCTTAAGGGGTTCCATTAACAACTAGGGATGAGTAGGATTCTGCCGGCCACCCTCTTAGTGCATGGATCTGACCCCAATGGCCCAAACCATCCTCAAAGTTGCAACAAAGGCAGTGAAGAACACAGCACCTGTAACAACCAACCAATAGCCCTGAACACCCAAACAACAGACATTAAGTTGCACCACCGCCAGAGACTTAGCATCCACAAAGACCAAAATAAAAAACTGAGTATCAAACCGTAAATATAACTACTACCACCACAGCACAACCATAAAACAGGAGAGGGGGGCTGGGTAAAAAACTGGCAAGCCTCAGACTGGCCAGAAGGGCTTCTCTGGTCTGCTTGCTTTTATGCCCAGCAAGTGGACTGGACTGGAACCTTCTGTTCTCTGGACCATTTCCCCATAGTTCTCTATTTAAATTTTCCTTGTTGGCCAATAGAAAGCCATCAGATTGATGCCCTCTGTAGCCAGTCAATAGGAGCCGTGTGAATTCCCCCACTATTGAGTAGGGGGCTGTGGTAGGGGAAAGAACCTGGTTAATAATAGCAAAGCAAATAAACTGCTACCATCTTAGACTCTGAAAGTGTGTGTTCTTTAAGGGCCCTGACATGACAAGACTTTGTTAAATATTTTAATATGCAAAACCTTATATTCGGTCAACTAGGTTAATACAGATGAGCAGCTAAGAAGAATAGCACAGATGAGGCTGGTTGAATATAACTACAAACCTGAATTTGCATCTATTATGGGAATAAACCAGGTCCACCAAACAGGTATGGAATCAACTTATTTGCTGCTCCAATCTTTTCAGGCACATTGAATATCCCCTTGTCTCTTCTCTTCTTGAAATATTCATCTTTGCTTTCAAACACATCCAACAGTTGAATTAAATAATTAGCTATAGGTATTTGATATTGCCTTTCAAGCAGAATAATTGTAACTCCCAATTTGCAAGAGAACAGAACACAGTTGCAGTGTTAATATGAAGGCGGTGTTGATAAGTATTGAGCCTTACCCAGAAAAAATTGAGCTAGGAAACTGTAACTGCCACACTATTCTACATATTCCCCCAGGAAGTCAATGCACTTATGACATTTGTCGTACAGCTTCTTAGGTCCCTGCAAATAAAATTTTTCCGACTGCTGGTGTAACCACTCATTTACAGCATTAGTTGCCTCCAGAACACTCCCAAATTGTTGTCCCTTTAAGTGTTTTTTGAGTTTAGGGAACAAATAATAGTCAGAAGGAGTCAGGCTTGGAGAATAGGGTGGATGGGGCATCACTTTAAAGCCTAAGGACATCAGTTTTGCCATTGTTTCACCTGCAGTGTGTGACGAGGCAATGACATGCAATAGGATGACACCTTTGGAGAGCTTTCCTCGACATTTTTCCTTGATGTTTTGCCTCAACTTCGTCAATAAAGCACAGTAATATTTTGCATTGATGGTTGAACCCTGTTGGAGGTAGTCTGCCACCAGTACTCACTTCTTATCCCAAAAAAACCTGTTGCCATTTGCTTCTGCACCGACCTTTGCACTTGGAACTTCTTTGGCCTGGGGGAAGCACTGTGCCTCCATTCTTTAGACTGTTCCTTTGTCTCAGGATCATAACAGTAGATCCATGTCTCAGCACTAGTTACCAGTTTGCCCAGGAAATCTGACTCATTTCTTGCAAAATGTTCCAAAAACAGCCACTGATGACTCCAAATGTTTCCTCTTTTGTTCGGTTGTCAGAAGTTTGGGGATCCACTTTGCTGCCAGCTTTCTCATTTCCAAGTCGTTGTGGATAATGGCACCAACTCTCTCACATGATATTCTCAGATATAAAGCAGTATGTTTGGCTGATATTCGGCGGTCCTCCATGATCATGTCATGGATGGCTTTCACATATACAGGCACAGAGACAGAAACAGGCCTTCCACTGGATTTCTCACTTTCAACACCGAAATGGCCAGTTTTAAAATTGATAACCCGACATTAAGCTGTTGCGTATGAAGGGCCACTGTCACTCATAGTTTGCGACATTTGATCATGGATCTGCTTTGCACCTTTCCCTTGGAGAAACAGGAACTTGATTATGGTCCTATGCTCTTCTACACATGTTCACTTTGGATCTGAACATGAAAGATAAGTTAAATCATAGGGAGTTGATTTTTGCACCATTGAATACAGACCAATTGGCCAATACACCGTGCAATGTATAGCTTCCTAGCTCAATTTTTTTCCTGGGAAAGGTCCAGTACTTGTCAGCACCCCCTTGTACTAAGGCCACTTAATGTCCTCACAATGGTGGAAGCTCATAGTCTGTGAGGGAATGTTATTCTGTGTTTGTTTTTCACATTTATGTATCTAGAGAGAGAGTATCAATCAGCCTTCAGACAAGTCCCTTGTGGATCTCAGAAGGAATGGGTGATACATTTATTAGAGTGATTTACATTTGAATATTATGATACTTTGTTTAGACTTCTATCTTCTTCATTAAAATGGCATCCTAAATGTCTGGCCATGATATTAAAATATTTTTGTTTTGTTAATAACTTCTGTAACTATCTATTTCATTTGGTTCTTAAGGTAGGACTGTTTCTCCATGGCAATAGATGTAGAGAAATTCCAGAGGAGGCACGAGGCTGTATGATTTCCCTGAAGAAAAAAAAACACATTTTTATCAGCTATAACATATTATGTGTTAGATATCCAATTAGAATTTACCAGATATTCAACCAGAATCCCTCAAGATAAGATATCTATTTGTGCTTTAAAAAAAATGAAAATAATTTCAATTAAGTTTTGCGTATTTATTTTGTTTTTCAGTTATGATTTGTTTTTGGCCAAGGGAGGTTAGTTGATACTAAAAGTAAAGAGGCATGATGAAAAAGGGGGAATGAAAGTTTTGGGAATGGCTGAGCCCTCCCTCTCAAACGTGTAATGTGCCAGGATTGGGACGCTGCTAGTAATGATTTGGCAATGAACATCGGCTGTTAAAGGCTCCCCCTTCCCAAAGCTCCCAAGGACATCCCCAGAGCAGAGTGGAGCCCCAGGGGAGCCTTGGAAACCTGAAGGGGGTGAATAGGAAGCTTTTAATCAATTTGAATTAAATATTATTGCTACTGGATGATGACATCATCAGATTTGTACCATAGAACAATGGGAACAGAATTTTGCCCATTATTTATAACTTGTCATTGATCTAAGAAAGAGAGGCCAGAATCCTTGTGTTAAAGCCAATAGTGCAAATCTCAGCTGCAGTTTGTTGCTGAAATTTATGTTGGTAGTTTTCCTGGAGTAAGTCTTCAGGTGGATTCTGGCCAGAGCATGGATATTGTCCTCTGTTGGCATTTCTGCTGTCTTTCTTTGCACTCATTTTTTTTGTATTTGCAAGCAGGAGTAATTGCGCAAGAACTGCAGGAACTTCTACCAAGAGCTGTGAGAGCCGTTGGAGAGGTTATGTGTGAAAATGGAGAAAAAGTTAATGATTTCCTCATGGTTGATAAGGTAATTTTTAATGACAGTTTCTCTAAAGCATCCCAAGTAAAAGTTGGGATGTGACAAATTGCCAGTGGCTTGAGATAATAGACTATGAGCTTCCACCATTGGCTATCTGGAAGTTGAGTCTTGGCAACTGGACTTCTTTCTTCTTAGGGTGAAATGTTTTGCTACTCATCTAAGTAGCTTCTTTAGTCTGAGAAGAGTTGGTGGGAGATCCCTGATATGTCCTCCACATTGGTTTCATTTCCCCCTGGTCTGAATAAGCTCATTGAAGGAGAAAGGACTAAGGGTAAGGGATAATCCCACTTCCACAGTTCTTCTTCACCCTTTGTCATGGGTCGTTAACAGTGGTCTTTCTGGTGTGTGTGGTCCTAATTTTTCTGGAGATGGATGAAAGGGCAGCATGATAAATGGGAGACAGGTTGCATCTAAAGCCTCCACCACCCCTGTTGAGTGAGGGATTTTCTATATGCACATGTATGACTTCCCTGACCCCTTTCTCAAACCACCTATCTTCTCTGTCCAAAATGAGTACATCTTGGTCATCAAATGAGTTTCCTTTGTCCTTTAAATGAAGGAACACTGCTGATTGTGGTCCTGAGCCATTGCCCCTCCTATGCTGGGCCGTTCTCCTGTTTAGCGGCTGTTTGGTTTCTCCAGTGTAGAGCTCCAAACACTCCTCTTCACCCAGATGTTGTCCATATACCTGAACCAATGGGTTGGAATCATCCCCTGGAAAGTGTTTAGCGCCTTATTTTTCCACTTCTTCCATGTATAAGTTGGCAACAATGGGCGACACCGGAGAACTTATGACTTAGCCGGGTTTCGGTCTGTAAAAGTGACTTTTGTAGGTGAAGTAAGTGGTAGTCAGACACAAGTCTAGGAGCAGGCATAAAGATTAGAAAGATTAGGACCACACATACCAGAAAGACCACTGTTAACTACCATTAACGACCCATGACATTGCGTGAAGAAGGACTGTGGAAGTGAGATTATCTCTCATCCCCAGTCCTTTGAACAAGCCTATTCAGACCAGGGGAAAGTGAAATGAAGGTGGGGGATATATCAGGGATTTCCTACCAGCTCTCCTCAGACTGAAGAAGCTACTTGGATGAGTAGCAAAACGTTTCAACCTAACAAGAAAGAAGTCCAATTGTCAAGACTCAACTTCCAGACAACCACACCTAGATGACTGAGAATCTTCACAGGAACCATTGTCATTGGCCTCCATAGGCTGAGAGCAAACTTTAATTAAAACGTAGGGTTGAATGTAAGCTTCTTCAAGGGCTATTTAGATGATATGATTAGAATGTCATTAGAAGTGGTGCTTCTTGATCTGTTAAAAAAATATCTGGTTTTCACAGGATGTACTTTAGCTCACATCTGTCTTGCATTCTAGTGAGCTTGGAATTCTAGTGAGGTCACTGGAATGGAAACAAAAGTTTAATTTGCATGTTTGATTGCCAAAGCTTGTATCTC